ATCAAGTTCTTGCAAAACAAAATGTCCTAAGCTGTTCTTTTTATTGTCTGACTCAGAGTGGGAATAGAACATTTTTTAAGGACTCATAGTTCATTTTAATGAAAAATGACATTTAGATATTTTGCTATGGGCAGTGGAGGTACTCATTGCTACGGGGTTGCCCTTGATTCTCTCTTTAGAAATGTTTTTTTTAAATTATAAAAGCTGTTCACTTTCTTTAAAGAACATTTGAGAGTATAGATATATAAGGATATTAAAATTATCCCTACTTTCCCACTTAGAATTTTGGCTTTTCAGCCTGGAAAACTAGTTTTTAATTAGAACTATTAGACATTTCAAATTATTATTAGAACTTCATTCTGTTTTTTTAATCACTTTCAGAAAATAAGAGACTTGAGGCACTCTGGATGTTTACAAACCCTCCAAAATTAATAATAAAACAGCATGTTTATCTGAGGGATCACTTTGTAAATTATATAAATGTCTAACCATTATGCTGTATACCTGAAACTAATATAAAATAATGTTGAAACTCAACTGTAATTGAAAAATAAATAAAGCATTAAAGACCTTATTTCTAAAATATTCAAATTGATTGAATTTAATTAATTCAAATATATTGAGTTCAGTTAAAAAGTACAGAATTGAATGTTCCCTTCTGAGAGTGGTGATGTGGGTAGACTTAGGATTTTTCACAGTAATAAAACATGCAAAGAAATAAAGCCAAGAAAAAAAGAGACTCAAAGAATTATACATCAGTTGATTTAACATCTGTTTCAAGTAAACTTTAAAAGAGACTGTTAAGCAATTTGGAAGCATGATAATTTATAATGGAGTCCCATTTTTATATAATTTAGTAGAACTTTGTAGTAAATGATGCTGTTAACCAGGTTGGGGAATATAAAAGCAATGTCAGGTTTGGGGAAAATAGTGAGATTTAAAAAACAGCTGTATTGAGATATAACTCACATGTCATAAAATTCACCCTTTAAAAGTATACAATTCAGTGTTTTTTAATGTATTCGGAGAGTTGTGCAACCATCACCACTATTTAATTCTGAAATGTTTTCTTCACTGTAAAATGAGACCTTACATCCATTAGCAGTCATTCCCCATTCCCCACTCTTATAGCCCCTGGCAACCACAAATCTACTTTCTGTCTTTTATAGCTTTTCCTATTCTGAACAATTCATTTAAATGGAATCATATATACTTGGCTTTTTGTGGCTGGCTTCTTTTACTTAGCATAATGTTTCCTCTGTTACTCCATGTTGTGGCACACACCAGTACTTAATATCTTTTTTTGATCAAATAATATTTCATTCTGTGGATATCCCACATTTTCTTTATGCATTCATCAGTTGATGGACATTTGGGTTGTTTCTAGTTTTGTGGCTATAATGAATGCTACTGTGAAGATTTGTGTACAAATTTTGGTGTGGATGTGTATTTTCATTTCTCTTGTAGGAGTGGAATTGCTCTGTTATATGTTGACTCTGCATTTAACCTTTTGAGAAAATGCCAGACTGTTTTCCAAAGTGGCTACACAATTTTATAATCCCACAGTAATGTACGAGGGTTCCAGTTTCCTTATATTTACACTAGCTCTTGTTACTGTTTGTCTTTTTTGATTACAGTCATTCTAGTGGGTATGAATTCATTGTGGTTTTGATTTGCACTTATCTAATAACTAATGAAGTTGAGCATCTTTTCATGTGCTTGTTGGTCTTTTGTATATCTTCTCTGGAGAAATACCTGTTACTATCCTTTGCCCATTTTTTAGTTATCTTTTTGTTGCTGAATTGTAACTCTTCTTTATGTAGATTCAAGTCTCTTATATACATGGCTTTGCCAATATTCTCTCCTATTTTATGAGTCATATTTTCACTTTCTTGATGTCTGTTAAAGTACGACAGTTTTTATTTTTGATGAAGCCCACTGTTTTCTTTTTTGTCACTTGTGCGCTTTGTGTTAGGATCTAAGAAACCATTGCCTAATCTATAGTCACAAGATTTATTTCTGCGTTTTCTAAAAGTTTTGTAGTTTTAGTTCTTACGTGTAGGTCTGTGATACATTTTGAATTAATTTCTGTATATGCTGTGTGGTTAGCGATCCAGCTTCATTCTTTTGCATGTGGATATTCAGTTATCCCATCACCATTTGTTGATAAAGACTCTTCTTTCTCCTTTGGTTATCTTGGCACCTTTGTCAAAAATCAGTTGTTCGTAAGTGTGGGGGTTTATTTGTGAATTCTTCATTGTATTCCATTGCTTTATATCTGTCCTTATGTCAGTATTGTACTTTATATGCCAGGTGTTTGGTTTGTATTAAGTTTTGAAATTGGGGAATTGAGTCCTCCAATTTTCTTCCTTTTCAAGATTATTTTGGCTATTTTGAGTTCATTGCATTTTTATATGACTTTTAGAATCAGTTTGTCAATTTCTAACCTGAGAGTAGCTAGAATTTTAGTAAGGATTACACTGAATCTGTAAATCTATTTGGGGAGTTTTGCCATCTTACCAATATTGTCTTTCAACCTATGAACACTGGATATCGTTCCATTTATTTAGGTTTTCTTTAATTTCCATCAGCTGTATTTTGTAGTTTTCACTGTAAAAATTTTGCATTGTCTTAATTTTATTTTTTATTGCTATGGTAATAACAATAGATTTTTTAAAAATGTTTAGTTTTAGAGAAAGGGGAAAGGAAAGAGAAAGAGAGGGAGAGAAGCATAGATGTATGAGAGAAACATCTGTTGGTTGCCTCCTGTCCACCTCTAACTGGGTACCTGGCCCACAGCCCAGGCATGTGCCCTAACTGGGAATCAAATGGGCAACCTTTCGGTCCACAGGCTTGCACTCAATCCACTGAGCCAAACTAGCCAGGGCTATAATAACTTTCTTAATTTCACTTTTGAATTGTTTATTCCTGGTACATAGGAATACCATTTTTTAAAAATCCCTGAGAATGTATTTATTGATCTTAGAGAGAGGGAGGGGTTGGGGGAGAGTGTGGGGAGAGAGAGAGAGAGAGAGAAGCAGAAATGTTGATGTGAAAGAGAAACATTGCCTCCCATATGCATCCTGACCAGGGATCAAACCCTCAACCTAGGTTTTTGCCCTTACTGTTAATTGAACCCACAACATTTTGGTGCATGGGGCAACACTCCAACCAATTGAGCCACCTCAGGCCAGGGCAGAAATACTATAGATCTTAAACAAAATCTTGTATCTTGCAACCTTGCCGAATTCATTTATTAGTTATAGCAGTCATTTTGTGGCTTAAGATATTCTGTATATAAGATCATATCATTTGTGAATAGAGATAGTTTTTACTTCTTTCTTTCTAGTCTGATACTGCTTTTGAATTTGTAAATCTGAAGTGAATGGGGATGTCTGCTTGACATGTCTGGTGGGCAAATGGATATATGAGATTTGAACTAAGGGAAGATTGGGGCAGGAGGTAGCAATTTGAGGGCCATTACCAACATGTGAGTTGTGCACTTTGGGTGAGGGAAGCCAGATTGAAAAAAATTGAGTAAGTAGGTGGTGAGATGATAGAGACAGCTAATAGAGAAGCAAAAATGAGAAGAAAAGAGCCTCAAAATGGTAAACTAATAATTTTGAGTTTCTCAAATTATGGTTTGTGGGCCATCTGTATTTAAATTACCTGGGATAATTGTTAAAATAATATTTTCCTATGTGCCATCCCAGACCCTCTCTCTGGATTAGACTCTCTGTGGGTGGGTTTTGGTATTCTGCATTTTAAACTAAGTCAGATAACTTTTGGACATAAAAAATTGGAGAATCAGGGAACTAAGGAAATTCTGCAGTTGAGCCTGAGTGGGAGTAGGAGAAAACTTGAGTGCTTTTATAGCTTTAATGGAAACAAGAAGGGTGGAATTGGAAGGTGAGAAGAGACAAGAACCAACCTCCTGAGCAAGGCGGAATTTAGAGTATAGATGAAAGACTGGCCTAGAGTAGAAGGAGAAATAGCTCTCCCATGTATCTAGTGTTAACATACAAAATTTAAAGGCTTTGACGTAATCTAGTCAATTTCCTTATACCGTATATCTTGTGTTGATATACAAAGTTTAAAAACTCTGAAGTAATCTAGCCGACTTCCTTATATTATATATGGAAACACACAGTTAAGGCAAAGTGATGCCCAAAGTTCGATTATGTAATGATTATAATATCAAAATACAGCCCAGTTTTCTGAACTCCCATTTTATTGCTGTGTGCACCATCTCATATTATTGCTGCTCCTGTTCATTTCTGTGTAGAGTACATTCGTTGTCTGTTTTTAGTATTGCTTTAACCAGCAACATCTGTTCTGTCTAAATGTGCCGTTTTTTTTCACTATATCTCAGTCATATCAAGGAGATGTTCTTACATGCACATTTAACTTCAGTCACCATGATTGGGATAGTGATTTCTTCCTTCTAGAATAGACTAATCAAACAATAGTGGCTGTTGTTTATTCCATACTACTTTTATACCTAAAACTATGCTTAGTACTTTATATTCATTATCTTAATTTTTATAAGAACCGCCTTAAGGTAAGTCGCACTATTAAGATCGAAATGGTATAGATCAGGAAAGTCAAGTTCAGTGAGATTAAGTAGTTCAAGAAAACAAAGCAAGTGGCTGAACCAGGATTCAAACTCAGGACTGAATGTCTGGCTCCCAGGTCCAAGATCTTAACCGCTCTGCTCTACTTTCTCTGTGTAATGGAGATATAGCTGTTGTTGAAAGAAGAATGAATAATGGCATCCAAAATAAAACCTTGTTCTCTAAACCAAAATTCATAGTACTCCCATTATATAACTAGTGATGGATGTTTTAGAACTGAGATCTTATTTTGTAATACTTACATTTCTTGGTTGCTCACATCTATAAACAAGGTTGCTGAATGTTGACATATATTACTTTCTTTTTCCCTTTTAGTGTTCTTATCCTACTTAAATTATGGCTTCTGAAGTACTGTTTTCTTTTTAGAAAAACCATGCCAGATGGATCATCTGGATCGAATCCTCCTCTCTGGCATCTATAATGTACGCAAAGGGAAGACCCAACTGCATAAGTGGGCTGAACGCCTAGTTGTTCTCTGTGGCACCTGCCTCATCGTTTCCTCAGTGAAGGATTGTCAAACTGGAAAGATGCACATTTTACCTCTGGTTGGGGGAAAGGTAAGACTCAAAAAGAGAAATTATTATTCTTCATTTGATCATCTTAATTTAAAAAAAAATCACATATGCTTTTTACAGCTTTTCCACATTTTCCACATCTTTTAAAAGAAGACAACATGAACAATTATTAATGATTACATCACAAAATTTGTCTTTTAGAGTTCTTATGCTTAAATGAAAGAAACTGACTCAGGCTTTTAAGCATAAAACAGGTTTATTTGCATCACAGACTTTCTCGGAGGTCTGTATCCATGCTCCAAATCCTGCCGATACTCCTGTTTCCACTGGTAGGCACTGGTAACACCAAGAGCAAACAGAAGATGCTAACACTAGAAGCTGCTTTTGGAAACTAGAAGTAGCTGCCATTATCTATCACCGATATAGATTCTTTTCAGTGTCTCCTTTTCCCCCATTAAACTAAAATTCAGACTCTGGGGTAGTCATAAGCTCCCATCCAGCAGCCATGGAGATGTGTCATTTCTTGCATCTGTACTAGAGGATTCCCCATCATAGGAAATCTGAATTTAAGAGAACCTCCAGACAGAATGACTGTGAATTCATGCTTTGAAACATCCAATCTGACCCAGATACATAGCAGTGTAGATGGAATATGTATGATAAAAAGATAAATTTATAAAAAGATACAGCTGGGCTTAGGAATATAGAACAGAAGTGTAAGTGGTGAGTAGGTCTGAATATGAGGGCCTTCTGGGCTCTGGGTCTGAAAGACTGTGGCCACCCAGGAATTCAGCTCCTATAAGAATTTGGATCTAAAAGTGCTCTGCACATGATGAGGGACCTGGTGCTGTTTTATTGCTTAAAGCTGGAAAGTGAGTGGTACTCTTTGCTTCTGAAATACAGCCGGAAAATAAAAAACACCAACAACCAAAAAGCAAAACCAGAAACTGCTGTTAACCACTCACTGGAACCAAGGCTCATTTCTAGCTATAGTCCCAAAGAAGTGAGAGGACCCAATTATATGGCCTATGATCAGGAAATGAACAAACCCCAACTGGCTTAAGGAATGAATGTGTGTAATTCCAGTGTCAATGATGTGGCAGGAACTCGCCACTACCAGTACAAGACCTGGTCCTGGTGCTAAAGAACTGAATGAAGAAAGCAAGTAAAATTTCTTCAAAGGGAAGGAAGTGAGTGAGGGCAAGGTTGGGAGTTGGTGGAGAGGAAGTATAAGACACAGAGAAAGAAAGAGAAAGGAAAAGAACCTTCCATTCAAGTAATTCTTGTCCACTCTCTCTCTTCCCTCACTAATGGAAGGGATTTTTTCTTTTTTAGTGTGGCAGTATGACTGAGATCAAAAATTTATCTGTCCAACCTTACTTGTAGCTAGTGGTGACTAGTAGATACAAACAAAAGTTTTCAGGTGGTACTTTTGGGAAAGTCCTTTAAAATGGGACAGGCATGGATGCCATAGCCCCTCAGTGTTGGAGGTGGACCAGTCATACGGTGAATGGGAATAGCAGGCATATGCTGAGTGTGGTCATTTGGAAAGTAGAAGGCACTTAGGTTTTGGTGCCATTATGGAGCTGCTGTACCAGTTATGGACTTTTTGTTTGGCCACTGTTTTACAGCTTAATACAATTAGTTGATATACTGAAGAATTTCAGAGATAAAAATATAAAAGAACCACCCTGGCTGGGGGGCTTAGTTGATTGGAGCATCATCCTGTACACCAAAAGGTTGCAGGTTCTATTCTTGATCAGGGCACAACCTAGGTTGTGGGTTCGATGTCTAGTCGGGGTGGATATGGAAGGTAACTGATTAAAGTTTCTCTCTCATCCCCTCGTCTCTCTCAAAAAATCAATAAAAACCATATCCTCTGGTAAGGATTAAAATATATAAAGAGACCAGCACAAATAATGTGCCTTTTTTATTATAAGATCTTTTATTACAAAATTATAAGCAGGTAATTCTGCAACATAACAATATCACATTCAAGCACACCATGTGATATTCTAGGTGAAATGTTCGAATTAAAACTAAATTATTACGCCTATGTTATTACCCTACCAAGCACACTCAAGCAGGCCTTACTTCTGCTGGGCCCTGCATATGGGCCTTTAAAGGAGGTGCTGGTACACACTAGTAGGTGTTCCAGAGAAGAGAGTAGAGGAGAATGGAGAAGCACTATCTGAAGAAATAATGATTGAAGTTTTTCTAGAAGTAAAGACAAATGAGCATTCAGATGGAAAGTACACTGGGAACTAAGGAGGATAAATAAAAATAAATCTATACTTAGACACATTGCAGAACACAAAGGACAAAGAGCAAATAATAAAAGCTTCTAGAGAGAAAAAGATTATCTACAAAGACTTGACAGGCTGACAGTGGTCTTTTCATCAACAATATGTGCTAGAAGACTACAAAATTGTTGAAAGAAAATAAATATGAACCTATGTTTTATAGCCAGCTAAGGTATATGATATTAGAAACAATAAATACAGACATTGATATGGTGGTAAATTTAATACTGATTGTAAAAAGTTTTAAAAACATTTATTATATATTTTTTAAATATCATATTTATTTATTTTTAGACAGAGGGGAGGGGACAGAGAAAGAGAGGGAGAGAAACATCAATGTGTAGTTGCCTCTCATGTGCCCTCAACTGGGGACATGGCCTGCAACCCAGGTGTGTGCCCTGACTGGGAATCGAACTGACAACCGTTTGGTTCGCAGGCCGGTGCTCAGTCCACTGAGCCACACCAGCCAGGGCTAAAAACTTTTATGTCTTAATTATGAATGTCAACTACAAGAGCTCAAATTACCCTGAACAATATTCAGGATGTGATGGTATGTTCTGTAATTAAAGTGCGGTGTATTCTTGGGATAAGAGGATAGAAACACCAAGTAACTTTAATCTTCATTAGAAAAATTGTGAAGTATAAGCTTAAAAAATTTAAGGATGACCACTAAAAGTAGAGAGGGAAAAGAGAATATAAAGTATCTGTAATGCTAAAAGAAGAGAGGAAAAGAGTTGGGAAAAAAGCAAAATAATTAGCATGGTAAATTATCACAAATTATAGTAATAGAAATAAATCCAAAGATATCAGTAATCACAGTAATTGTGATAGGTTATTTAAATTTTACTCCTTGCTGTTAAGAGATACCTAAAACTTAGAAGGTTGAACATAAAAACGGTGTAAAAATTACGGAAGTCAAATAGCAACCAAAATAAAATTGGTAGGGCTGTATTAACATCATACAAAACGTTTACATAAAAGTTTATAAGCAACAAAGGACTTGTATCCAGACTATATAAAAAACTATTACAGCACAGTGACAGACAAATAACCTAGTGAAAAACTGAGCTAAAGATTTGAACAGACCCTTTAACAAATAAGATATACAAATGACAAACACATGAAAAGATTCTCAACATCATTAGTCACTAGAGAAATGCAAATTAAAATCTCAGTTAGAGACTCCATACCCCTAGAATGAGTAAAACTAAAAGACTGTTAAACCAAGTTTAACAAAGATGGGGAGCATCTGGAACACTCATATTTTTGGTTGGAATGCAGTCACTTTGGAAACCTTTTTCGTTTTGTTTCCCATAAAGTTAAATATACACTTATCAGATGACCCAGCGATTCTGCTAGGTGTTGGGAAATGAATATATACCTTCATAAAGACTTTAAGTGAATAATTGCCCAAAACCAGAACAACCCCAAGTGTTCATTGACTGATGATAAATAGATTTGGCGTATCCATACAGTAGAATACTACTGAGCAATAAAAAGGAATGAACTGTTGGTACAAACAAGAACAAGGATGAAGCTCAAAAGGATTACTCTAAGTGAAAGAGGCCAAGTACAAAAGTCCTTTTATTGTATGATTCCATTTATAAGAAATTCTAACAAAGTCAAAACTGTGCTGATAGGAAACAGATCACTGATTATCAGGTTATGGAGGGAAGGGGATTGACTGCAAAATGACACAAGGGAAATTTGGGGGGTGGTGGGATTTACAGTTATATTCATTTATAAAAATTTAAGTGTTCACATAGAATCAGTGAATTTTTTAAAAACTCCACAAATTTTATGTAAATTATGCTTCAATAAAATTTACCTCCCAAAAAAGACTAATGCAAAAGCATTAGTAGGGATAAAAAGGCTCACTACAAATTAATGAAAGAAACATTTCACCATGAATATTCAATAATTCTGAAGTTGTACATATTTTACAATATAGTCTCAATATATATGATGTAATAATTAACATTATTATCCAGAAAGTTGACAAATTAACCGCTAGTGGGAGATATGTAAACCTTTCTCAGTATGACATTATATGACTATATTTTTCTGTGTCAACACCCCATAATACTTAAAAGGGAAGATTATTCTAAAACAATATTATTCATCTTATAGCAATAAGATGCTTTATTTTGACACAAACTCATTCAATTGCAGTGATCTGTTACTAAGAAAAATGTTTATGTTGTGAGCATCACAATCAAAAGTTATGAATATTATTTAATTTTATTAGATTTTTAAAATTGATTTGAGAGAGAGAGAAGGAGGTGGGTAGAGAGAGAGAGACATCAATTTGTTGTTCCACTTATTTATGCATTCTTTGGTTGATTCTTGTATGAGTCCTGACTGAGGATTGAACTCTACAACCTTGCCATATCAAAACAGTGCTTACCCTACCAGAGCCTGGATCTTTTTCTAAATATGATTCTTTTTTTGCTTAAAGTAGTTTATGTTTCTCCCACTTGATTCACTCTTTACTCAGCACCAGAAACCTAATGATTATGAATATAACTTCGAAATTTCCAGCTGATTCACCAACATTCAGTAGCTACAGTATAACAAATCAGATGTCAGACAAAGATGTAAGTGGTTCCATAACTTTAAAACGACTTCATCCTCATCAAAGCTATATGGGTTGGGTTGTTGAATCTGGAAGAGAATTTCTTTGAAGAAAGCTATTGTGCTTTCTTCAAAACCACTATCCCAAATGGGAATTAGGAGGTTTCTTTCTCTTCCTTCAAGCCTGGTGACAGAAGTTTCAGAAGGACTCAAGAGAGCTTGATACAGGTCCCCTGCAATAAGGGGGACACAATGGGCTGGTGTCCTGCCTTCTGACCAGGAAGTCTTGAGGACAAGAAATAGACTCCCCAGCTGCTTTGGTGACAGAGCAAAGAGCCTACCTAGCTCATGCATTGGGATCATTGTGCACTTCTTGGGTTTGTCAGCTTGTGACTCAGATGGGTGGAAAGAGATCAAGAGCCAGTGTCTGAGGGCGTGGATTCTCTTAGAACATGTCCAGTAGGGCCACCTGGAGGGGCAAACAGGCTTCACTGAGGACAAGCTATAAAAGGACCACCAGATTCTTTGGGGTCTGAGGAAAAAGTGGCCAGTTGCTTGAATAACATTCATGAGCCAGGTCAAGAGATCTGTAAGTAAGAAGCTGTTATTGGTTGGATTGGGGTGGGGGTAATCCAACGAATCCTCAGAAGGACCCATTGAAATCTGCTTTTAAGTTCCCTTTAAAATTTGCTTGGGTTTGGAGAACGTGAAATCAGGTTACGACTGCTAGTCTAGTACCAACCTTTGGGCTTAATATTCCCTGTCCTTCCTCTCTCTCCAGTTCAACCCTGTAGGAAGTCAGAAATGGCATCTAGCCCAGCACCTAGTGAGTAAGGGATGAGGTGAGTCCAAAAGCAGGCCAGGGCACCATTGCAGGCAGGCAGCTACCTCCAATTGGCCCGAGTGTTAGGGGAAATGGTTGGAGCAGTCTAACCTTTAAAGTGGAAACTTTGCCTCTTCTCACATGGGCCTGTTCTGGAGACTCCTGTTCTGAAACAGGACAAATTCTTGCATCACAGGGACTAGTACTTGCGTTGCTGCTTCTCCCTCAGGAGGTTTCCTTGCTTTGCTCATTGACCCCCTTAGGTTCTTTGTTCACACGTTACCTCCTCAGTGAGTCCTTCCCTGACTTCTCTGTTCATCATTCAGACTGCCTACTCTGTTCCCCTTCAAGCCTTTACCCTGCTTTATTTTTCTGTTACTCATTATATGAAGGTCTGTCCAGAAAAAGTCCAGCCATTGTTAATATAATGAGAATGGTGTGAATGACATTGATGTAACCTGGCAGCCAAAGAGAATGGACTGGAATGTGCATGCATGAACAATGATGACCTCATTGTTCTAGTTATTGGGAGCATTAGATGCTGTTGAGTGAGCAGGTGTACTCTGTGGTTGCTGCATTCAAAATGACAGAGCCAGTAGAGCAACGAATCTGCATCATATTTTGCATTAAGCTTGAACATTTCTCTGTGGAAACTATTCAGATGATTCAGAAGGCCACAGCTATAGGTAACTGGTGATTGGCAGCTTCATCATGACAATGCACCTGCTCATACATCATGTCTAGTGAATTTTTTTTGCAAAATATCAAATCACCCAGGTGACTCAGCCACCCTACAGCCCAGATTTGGTGCCCTGCAACTTCTGGCTTTTCCCAAAACTAAAATCACCTTTGAAAGGGAACAGATTTCAGACTGTCAGTGAGATTCAGGAAAATATGACGGGGCAGCTGATGGTGATTGGGAGAACTGTGTGAGGTCCCAAGGTGCCAACTTTGAAGGGGACTGAGGTGTCATTGTCCTCTGTAAAATATTTCTTGTATCTTGTATCTTCTTCAATAAATGTCTCTATTTTTCATAGTACATGGGTGGATACTTTCTGGACAGGCTTTGTATCTTACATCATGCCTTGCCGCATCATGTCACAGTTTTCGTGTTAGAGTGTTTTTCCCTGTCAAATATAAACTCCACGGAGGGCAGAGGCTTTGTTCTTTCCCGTTGTGTCCCCAGAACAGTACAGTGTATTCATTGAACAAATATTTAAATATCAAATTGAGACTCTTTTGTGACTTAAAGAATAATAAATATACCCATGATTATGACTTACGAATGCTACTCTTTCAACATACTTAAGTGTCCTTTTGCTTTTTCTAAACAGTTTTATTGAGATATAATTAAGATACCATACAACTCACCCATTTAAAGTGTACAATTTAATAGTTTTTAATATATTTACAGAGATGTGCAACCATTACGTCAGTCAATTTTAGAATATTTTCATGACCTTGAAAAGAACCTCACACTCCTTAGCCATCATTTCCCCAGCTCTCATCATCTGTTAATCTACCTTCTGTCTCTACAGATTTGCTGAACCTGGACATTTCATATAAATGGAATCATACAATGTATGGTTTTTGTGACTTTTCTTTTAGTTAGCATAATGTTTTCAAGGTTTATACATATTGTAGTATGTATCAATATTTTATTCCTGTTTATGGCTAATTTACTGCATGGATATACCACATTGTTATACTTTTACCTATTGATGGACATTTGGGTTGTTTCCACGTCTGTGAATAATGCTGCTCTAATTTAGGTTTAAGTTTTGTATGGATGTATGTTTTCAGTTCTTTTGGGCCTATACTTAGGAGTGGAATTGCTGGGTTACATGCTTACTCTATGTTTAATATTTTGAGGAGCTTTCGGCCTATTTCCCAATGTAGCTGCACCATTTCCCATTCTCACCAGCAGGGCATGAGGGTTCCAGTTCCTCCACTTCCTTGCTATACTTGTTACCCAACACTTACTATCTCTGTTTTTTATTGTAGCCATCCTAGTGGATGTGATGTAGTATCTCATGGTTTTGATTTTTATTTATCTAATAACTTATGCCATCACTTCATGTGTTTTTTGGCCATTTCTCTCTCTTTTGGAGAATGTCTGTTCAGACCCTTTGCTTATTTTTAAAAATTGAGTTATTGTTTTGCTATTGTCCTTTGCTTTTTGACTAAGATTTTAAAATTTTTGTCGGTTCTGGTTTTCTTTCCTACTCTTCTTCAGGTAGAAGAAGTGAAGCGACGGCAGTACTCCCTTGCGTTTAGCTCGGCTGGAGCGCAGGCTCAGACCTATCATGTCAGCTTTGAGACTTTGGCTGAGTACCAGAGATGGCAGCGGCAAGCATCCAAGGTGATAAGCTGTCACATGTCATGATGTGGAGATAAGAGTGTAGGAGCCCAATAGAAATGTATTTTGAAACTAAACTTGCTCCCAAGAGAGCAAATTATAATTCTTATACATTTTATTGTAGGTCTTTCTAAGTATATAATGAATAAAGTCAAGGAATTCCACCAAATTCTTAACTTACTTATATTTTTATAGGACAAAATGCTTTCGAGAGTGTTTTCAGGTGCATTTACCTTTATCCCATTTCTGTGTGTGGGGTAGATCCTCAAAGGAGTGGGATTCAAATGGCTTCCCCTCAACCACAGTAGCTAGTGACAGATGGAACCATTCCCTAACTGGTAGCCCAGTGTTCATGGTCTGTATGTATTTAGCACAGCCTTGATGATCCACTTGAGATTTGCACTTATTGATGGGACATGACCTTTGACCCTGTCACAAACCATTATTCCTTTGTGCTTAGGGTAATTAGCTTTTCAACATAATTTCTGCGTTTTTAGCCTGTCATGATGAAGTGCTTTAAAGCTATATTGCAATTTTCAAATCCTCTTGTTCTCCTAGTTATCTTTGCAGAATTTTAACACATTTTTTTTGTGTGGAACTAAGTAGTTGCATAAAGGATTGCTTCAGTATTTGGCCTGTCATCATAACATAAATGACTTTTCCAGTGATTTTTTTTTTGACCAATATTTTAGAACGCATGATTTATTAGTATACTATTATAGAAATAATAAACCTTGTTTTGGTTTTATTGTATTTTCTGTACTTATATTGTGTAATAATATAAACCTTGTTTTGGTGTTACTGAGTTTTCTGTACTTATATTGTGCAGTAATATCTGCTCATAATAAAACTAGTTTCAATTTTTAGTAGCTATTCCATTCTTCTATCCTGAGAAATTAATATTTTTTGAGCATCTTTTGCATGCTAAGCAGTGTGCTATGTTCTTGGTTATTTAATTTTATCCTCACAACAGATGAAGAAACTATACCAGTAAGTAGCACACAGCCCATGTGGCTACAAAAAGCCATATCTTTTGATACCACACTGCTCCCAGCCAATGTTTTGCAGTTATTTTGAATCATCTTAACTATTTCTTGCATGAAGTGTTACTTTTCCATCTTTATGATTTATATTTTTTATCCTTTGCTTATAGACACTTTACAGCATATCTTTGGGTTTTCCTTCTAGCTTATGGTTTTTATACATGAATAATTGGATCTCATTACCTTTTTTGCCTCCCCATATTTTTAATCTGTGCTTGTTTGTGTAAATGCCATTTCATACTATGTTGGGTGAGAGCATTCAGGACAAGCTCAGATGGCTCTTTTCTTTAATCTCATTCAGGTGGTGTCCCAGCGGATCAGTACTGTTGATCTCTCGTGTTACAGCCTTGAGGAGGTTCCTGAGCATCTCTTCTACAGTCAAGATATCATCTACCTCAACTTGCGACACAACTTCATGCAATTAGAAAGACCAGGGGGCCTTGACACTCTTTACAAGTATGTGGAGAATAGCTGTCTGGGCTAACTTATTAAAAATGAATCATAATCAGTGTCTTAGTGGTTTATACTTAGAAGTGAACATGCTTACCATCATATATATATTTGAAAATTTCCCTCCACTTTGAAGAGGAAGTAAAACATTTTATTTACACAGTTTTTCCCATTTTCCATTCCCTCCCTATCAAACAGAAAATAGGTGTAAATTTTCTGTTACAGAGGCAGCATTGAGCTGCCATTGATCTGGATTACCTTTTTATAGAAGTTATTGACAGTAGCCAAGGTAAATTGAGAGATTCAGTTTATGGAAGTTTTTGAATCAGAAGTATCAAACATAAATGACTTAAAGGGAATAGGCCTAATTTTAAGAATTTCACTCCCACGTGAGGGCTTTTATGTTTCCTTTGTTTGTGTTACTGCCAATTCTCTAGACTTTTATTAGCTATGAAACTTCTCTCTTCTAATAAACTTCTCTCTCTAATATAGTCCCCACTCCTAAGGGACTGTAGTATGACCCACATATTTTCAATCTCCTTTGTGAGAATACCGGTGTGTTTCCCATTCCCAGCCTCCATTCATGTCACTTCCCTCTTCCCTTTAAAAGTGGATGGCAGTGAATAAATATGTAAGTAATTGTCTGGGATTCTTGTAGGAAGGGGAGAAATTGAAAATTGAAGCAATCAAATTAACATGGTGATTAAAAAAGATAATACACACTGAAGTGACATTTTATACACTTAATAACTGCTGTTTCTGGAATAAATTTCAGAAAGCTCTATTTTTATCTCGTTTTACAAAGTTTTTGAGGTATAAGTCTATAGTAGTGGGGATAATGGTTTTAATAATATTGATATATAGAAAAATAAATAAGATATAATTGTAAGGAGTTATGTTTCTAGCATTTCCTTTAAGTTGCTGTGAAAGTAGGGTTAATCTAGTTTGATGGCTGGGTTAAGAATTCAAAAGTTAAGGCACCAAGGTCACAGTCAGTATTCCATGTCAGCACAATTAGAAATCAAGAGTTGAAAATTTGGAAGAAGAGCATTAGAGTGAGGTGTCAAGCATCCAAATCCATAAGCAGATGATGCAGAGCTTCCTTGTGGAGAACATCCCCTCAGCCTTATCATCTTGTACTAGTCAGTACATAATAATGAAGTATAATACTCCAAAGTGACTCCTGTGGATCCAGTTTAGGTTGATACTGCCTCTGGCTAAGACTGTGTAAGATACTTTTACTTGTTCAAACAAAACAGAAGCTCTACTAATTTCTATTTCATGTCGTATATCAGATCACCTTACAGTAAAACTCCATATTACGTACATATCTTAAGCTTGGTATAAATGGCCCATTCCTTTCAAGTGACATTTGAGCCAACATAATTTCAATAGGAAAGAAGTTGCTTATAATGGGATTTGATCTGCATGTTTGTTAGTTATTTCTGTCTCCATGAGTTGATCAACTGCTGCAAGACTTTTGTATGTTATATTGCATGTAGGAATTTAATAAAGGAAAAGGTTTCAAGCATATCAGTATGACTTGATGAAAAGTAATTGTGCCAGCATGAGCTTTTCTTCACTTCTGCCTTTTTAAGGTTAAGAGAGAAGAACTCCCAACACACTAGACCTGGTTTCCTTGTTAGCCTGGACTTGGCATTGGTCATCTTAGCATCGCTGCTGTGCACAATGTTTGGTATTAGAGCGAGTGTTTCATAAATATTTGTGGATCAAATTCTATGGTGAGCATTTAAAATAGGTGACTTTTTCATTCAGTAATATAAATATATAATTTATGCCTTTGCTTTTTAGATTTTCTCAGCTGAAGGGCCTGAACTTGTCCCATAATAAACTTGGGTTGTTTCCTGTATTGTTATGTGAGATTTCCACCCTTACTGAGCTTAATCTTTCCTGTAATGGATTTCATGACCTTCCAAGTCAGATTGGCAATCTCCTAAAGTAAGTATCTCGACTTTTTCTAGACTTTTAATTTCCCTTGCAAAATAAGTTACTTGTCTGGCATTTGGAATGAAGTTAGTACCATGAGCGCCTACACTGAAATCCTGTAATTAGGAGGATTCTAGTTGGTGGCAGTTTCTTGCCTACAACAGTGACTCGTCACCTTCAACAGCAGAGGCTCTGACTTTCTAATGTTGGAGGGAGTGTCAATGTCAGTTACGTATAAGCCATCTTATTAGTAAGTTTTTGTAGACAAACTTAGGACATTTTATCATTATCGGATTCATAATAAATTAGTGACATAACTTATAATCCATAATTCTAATTCTATTCCAATTAAAACCTTTCATAAAGTATACTTGTTTTGTTTTCTTTCTACAGTCTTCAAACTCTCTGTCTTGATGGCAACTTTCTGACTACTTTGCCTGAAGAATTGGGAAATCTGCAACAGCTTTCCTCCCTGGGAATCTCCTTCAACAACTTTAGTGAAATTCCCGAGGTTTATGAGAAACTCACTATGTTAGACAAAGTGGTTATGGCAGGAAATCGACTGGAAGTTTTAAACCTAGGGGTGCTGAACAGGATGAGCCACATCAAACATGTAGATTTAAGGTAAGATCATTTGTTACCATATCTTCTTTAGATGGACCTCTGATGGACCTTTAAGTTTTTTCTTTATAAAGACTTACTTAAAACATTAGGCTTTTAAAGCTATAGTTTCAAAGCTGTAATAAAGCTTCATTTTTCAATCATTAGCAGAGAGATTATGAATGAGATGTAGGTGTAACACATGATAATGACTTCAAATTGCCTTTGACAAAGGTTATTCTAACTTACCCCCCGGCAACATTTTATGAGGATTCCTATTTCATATCCTTATCAATGTTGGATTTTAGCAGTCTTTTTCATTATTGTCAGTACAGTAGGTAGAAATAATATTTTATATTTTAATCAATTTATGGGAGTGAGGTTGAGCATCTTATGTGCTTACTGGCTGGTAGTTTGTTTTATTGTTAAATAAACAAGCATTTTTTTACTTAATCATTGGGTTTCTTAATATCCATTGTATAATTAAACTGTTAAAGGTTTTACTAATAATAACTTTTATAATAAGAATTTTATTTTAGTAATCTTTTCTTGAAGCTGGTAAAAAAATAATAGGTATTTTGTCATTTACACTAAAGCATTGATATCCTTATAAAGACATAGTAACAGAAAAATTTATTTGAAATACAGGAAAATGAGAACAGGCCTATGTGCATTAAATCATATACTTGAAGAGAACCAAGAAGCCATTTTCTATAATTTGCCCTTGAACTGTTCTATATAGATACAGATTATTTTTCTGTCCATTAACTAATGGAATGTGAGTCTTAGCACTAGAGAGAGTAGGCAGAAAGCAATGAAAGGAAGTATGGCTACGTCCTCTTGCTCTTTACATGGTACTTCATGCCTGCTTGGCTACTCATTAACCCACATAGTTATGTGCATCTTCTTGTTCCTTAGTCTGACTCCTTCATCCCTACCGAACTTTATTAGGTATTTGGATGGAAGTTTTTAACCAAAAGTTGTTTAGGAAAGAGAAAGGGATCATACCTCTTCTGTTTTTCTTTTGATAAGCACATTTAATAGATTTTATTTCTAATGATTTCCTTATTTCCAAATATTAAGGATGAACCATTTGAAAACCATGGTTATTGAAAACTTGGAGGGAAATAAATGCATCACCCACATGGATTTACGGGACAATCAACTGACTGACTTAGATCTTAGCTCCTTATGTAGCTTGGAGCAGCTGCATTGTGAGCGGAACCAGCTGAGGGAGCTGACACTCAGTGGCTTCTCCCTTCGCACTCTCTACGCCAATTCCAACAGTGAGTTCTCTATCTGGCCTCCTTTTTTTCCTCCTCTAGCTCTCATCAGAGCTTTCTCAGAACAGTGGCACCTATGGTATTCCTCAGCCACTCTGCAGAGTTTGAGGTTCATTGAGACCTAGCTTTATCTTTTAAATTTTCTGTCAACACTTAAGTGATTGAGATATGAGTAAAAAAGACATTGTAGGATACTTGTCCTTTACTAAGTGCCAAATATTGAGTAAATATTTAGTCCTTTGCCAATTTCTAATCTAAAACCTTGTGCTGCCTCAGTTCTAGAGTGAGAAGTCTCTCGTTTCAACAGTGATTTGCTCCAGGAATATTTTTCAATGTAAAAGGTTTCTTATTAGTTGAGGCCATTCTTTCTATGGAGAGTTCTTCTTTGCCAAAGAGGTTATAAGTACTTTTTCTGTGTTTAAAGAAGGAAAGGAAAAAATGTTCAGTTTCACTTAGTGTCAGAGAAATGCATATTTAGATAATACCATTTTATCCCCATGAAATTAAAAAAAGAATGCTAAGTGCTATTGAAGATGGGGAGAAGCAACAGCTCACACACTTCCAGTGCGAGGGTTGGTCAGTGAAACCGCCTTGGAGAGCAACATGACGGTGTGAGGGGAGTTGAAGGTACACGCAACCCATATTCTAGCAGTTCCCCTGCTTGGAATATCTCCCAGAGACATTGCACATGTGCAGGAGATATGCCCTGACTGGGAATTGAACTGGCTGGCGACCTTTCAGTTCACTGGCCAGCATTCAGTCCACTCAGCCACACAAGCCAGGGCTCCATTTTCTATTCCTAATGTATCTAAAGAATCTGAGTGACTGGCCCTATTGAATGAGACCTCATCAACATAGATGCAGTCCTTCTTAGTAACCAAGATTCTGTCACAGTACTGTACTAAATGGGGCCTGTTTGAAGTTAGCTACTCTCTTTACAAAATCCTTAAATTCAACAACCTGGAAGAATTCACATCAACATTTAGAGTTTTGACGCCTCAAGAATAAAGGGCTCAACTTTGCAAAAGAAGTTATCCAAATGATCAGTTAATATAAGAAAAGGCACTCAACTTCACTAGTCATCAGGAATGTGCAAATTGAAACCCCAGTGTGATACCGTTACACACCTTTCAGAAGGACTAGAATGAAAAAGACGGAAAATACCAGTGTCAGCTGTTGGGAATGTAAATTGGTACAACCACTTTGGAAAACTCTCTACTAAAGCTGAACATAGTAGCCCCTGTACTCAACAGTTCCTCACCTAAGCTTATACTCAACATAAATGCTTATATTAGTCCACAAAAGACATGGAAAAAAATGTTCATAGAAGCACTATTTATAGTAACCTGAACTAGCAATGACTTAAATGCCCTAACTTTAAACTGGAGAAATAAATTTTACATTTACATAAAAAGTTTTAGAGTGCCAATAAAATGAATGAATTACAACCATATGCAACCATATGAACAGATTTCACAAGTGGAATGTGAAGTGAACAAAGCCAGATTAGAAACTTTACATACTGTATGTGTATATTTATGTAAATCGGCAAAAGTAGTGCATGGTATAGGGAGTCAGGGTGGGGCAGCAGTGACTGGAAGGGTACATGAGGGGAAGCTTCTGGAGAGTTAGTAATGTTCTGTTTTCTTGCTCTGGGCACTGGCTACGCTAGTGTATTCTCTTGGTAAAAATTCATTGATTTATACACTTAAGATCATATTTATGCTTTAGTTAAAAGTTAAAATATTGCCAGTAAAAATCCAATTATCAATTTTTTAAAAAAACAAGTAGTTACTATTAACATTTAACAACAGCCTGATCTGATGTGAATCCAGTACAGTACACAAGATCCTTCATTAGTTGTATTTGATCTTCAAATTGGGAACAAGCACTTAATATGAATTATCTAGTGGTTTTTGTTTTTAGTTCATGTCAGTAGGTGACATCAGTTTTCTCTCTGATGATTTCACTAAGCCACTTTTGCCTTGTTTACTCTCAGTTACTTTCTTCTTTAGCAAATATTACTAATACCTGTTTGTTTTTGATTAGGGCTGACAGCAGTGAATGTCTATCCAGTACCCAGTCTTCTCACTTCTCTAGAACTTTCCAGGTGAGTGTGTCTCATGACGATGGCACTTGTCCGAATCTTAATATTTAAGAGATGTGTGTGGATTATTTGGTAGTTTTGATGTACAAGAAATCTAAATATATTGAAATATTTGGATAGCATGTAGAAGGACAAAAGGATGAGTGGAAGAGTAAGTTTAATGGCCTTACTGTCTAGTTAAAGGAAGAGTCCTTTTGAAACAGAAATGTGCCTGTGAATTACTTGTTCTTAAAATATTTGAATTTAGAATGAGGTGAATCATGGCAGTGATTTCCTTTTTGCCTAATGGTATCAGATAGTTCTTGGTTTTAAATAGTAGTTTATTTTGAAATTTTTCTTATTTGATACTATTGTGACCCACGTTAGTCTAATTTTCAGAGAGATATTAATTATATTTAGGATTGCATTAACTTCTGGTGGTGGTCAAGAGTAAATGTAAATGAGATTTGTTTTCTTCATTCATTTTTAACATGTTAGGCATTCAGGGTTCAGTGGTTGAGTTTTACAGTATATCGGAGAGTTTGACAAACAGTTACAGGCAGCTTCATTAAGTGCTGTGAGTAGAGAGTACACAGGGCAGTAGACAGAGTCCTATGTTGGCAAGGTTGTTGCAAAGATTAAATGAGATTAAAAAATGCAAAATATGTAGCATAGTGTCTAGCATAAAATGGTTTCTCAATAAATATTTGTTGTTACAGCCAATTTTCTTTTTGTTGTTACTTTATTATTATTATTATTAAGCTATTGTTCTTGATTCCCTTCCATGCATTTCTTTGTCATATCTTCCTCGCAAAACCCCAATATAGCTGCATAGGAAGGTTTACCCTCTCCACTGAGCTCAGACCTTGCTGTAGGAAGTCATTGGGCCCCACTGCACAGTCATGATTTCTGACCTCGTCTGGAGCTCACTGGGCTTTTCTCTTATTAGCTCCTTCTACTGTCCTGGGCACCTGCTCCCAATTGCTTAGCTTCCCTCCACTGCACCGCCCTTCATTTCCTCCTACTTGACAGAAAATAGAGGCTACCTTGGTTGATGTCCCTCAGCCTCCTCCCACTTTGCTTAAATTCAGGGAGCTTCATATCTATTCTCAGCTTCTTTCCTCTCTTCAGGCCAGTCCAGCCACCGGTGCCTTTGATCCTGTCCACTCCACTCCCACTGCTCTGTTAGTCAGCTTCTTCCTCTTCTGTGTGCTCAGTATCTTCCTTTTCATGGTCTGTATACGCAATTATATCTCTTCTGTCTTGACAAAGTTCCCTTTATCTGCAACTCCTCTAGCTACTATCTAATTTTTTCATCAACTTTTGATATAAATTTCTCTATTATTTGCGTTTGGTGGCTCAGTTTCCTTATTCCCATTTGCTTATCCCACTGCAGCTTGCTTTAGACATTCTGTTATGGAACTTTTCTATATTGACACTGTTAATCTTGCTCTCTTTTCTTCCAAAATGCTGTTTCCAGAGCGGGCTAATACAGTCTCATTTGTTTCAGGTCACCTTGACTGTCCCTTCTGTCTCTTTTACATACTTCTCTTCCTCAGCTGGTCCTTTGAAGGTTGCTTAGTCCAGGGTCTGCCCTTGGCCCATTACACTTCTTATTTGACATGATCTCATTTACTCCAATGATTTCAGCTACACTTCGGGGTCAGCATCACCCAGATTGCCAGCCTTCAGCCTCTTCTTTCAGCCTCAGACCCACATGTCCAGTTTCATACCAAGACATTTCAGCATATTTAAGGCGCTGCACATCTCTCAGTGTCTTAATTAGGGACAAAATTAAACTCACCCACCTCTACACCCTCATTTTAATTTACTGTCTTCTGTTTATTTCAGCTTTGGCATTATCATAAAACAACCATACACCATATAGATTCATGATTTCCAGGCTTACTTGGAGCCTCTCAGTCCTTTCTGTGGATATGATTTCCTCCCTGGTCATCCAGGTCAGAAACCTGGAAGTCATTTTTGATTCTTCTCTCTGCTCTACTCCCATGTCTAATCCACCTCCAAGTAGTTTTCCTTTTTTCCTCTGAAATACTTCCAGAATCCCTTCCCTCCCTCCCATGTGTATTACCATTGATTTAGGCCCATGTCATCACCTGTCTGAAATTCTGTAACAGCTTCCTGATTATTCTTCCTTTTAGTAATATAATCACCTCAGACCTCCCTGTATCCACAGAATGACCTTTTATTTAAAGTGCAAAACTGACTCATCTCCCCACTACTTACTAACCCTTCAGTGATCCCCCTATACCTGTAGGATAGTCACAACCTTCTAGACATGCTTTAGGTCTCACCAGTTTGTTTCTTATCACTCTCTGCTCCATATCACAAACTGCTTATTATTATTCTTGCATATGTTATGCCATTTCTCTTCTTGTCTTTGTGTTCTCACTCATGCTGTCATTTCTTTCTTGGAATGTCCTCCTCCTTTTAGGTCATCATTGTACAGCATTCTTCAAATTCTCACCCAGATGTCATATTTCTTAAGGAGCTTGCCTTGATTCATTTCAGCTAAGGGCTTCCTTCATTAAGCCATCATAGCAGTATCTGCATTTCTCTTATAGCACTTAGTTTGTTCTGCCTCATCATATCAGTTGATCTATCAATAGATACTTTGAGGCCTATAGAAGCTAAGTAACATCTGAAGATAAAATTTCTTTTACTCTGTGTCTTTCTAGTGTTCTAAATATTTGAATTCACATTCTAAATGGTTTGAAGCTTCCACACCCCGCTCTACTCGTTATCTTGTGTCCCTGCTCCCTCACTTTCATTAATTCTGTTCATTTTCTCCAGAATTTTCATTTCTTCTTTCCCAGTCCCCAGTTAGTACCTGTGGAAATCCTCATTTTCAAAGGCTTATTTAAAATGCTACTTCTTCCATTAAGTCTTTCCTCATCTCTCCCTCAACCATCCACCACATGTGTGCGTCCCTGCTGCTGAAAGTCTTTCTTTGTATCTTCTTTGAGCATGAAGCATAGTTGGTCCAGTATTATACATGTTGGGGTCCTCGTCTGTGTCCACCTTTCAGTCGTGTCCATTGACCACCTCGTGTATTCCAGGTAGTGGACGAAGAATGCCTTGGAGACAGTGCTCCTGCCCTCGAGGGTCTCACGGGCCAATTAACAGATGTAATGCAGACTAATGAAATGAGTCCCACCTGTCATCATAAGTGACTTGTATTTATTTATTTTTTTATAGAAACCTGCTGGAGTGTGTCCCTGACTGGGCCTGTGAAGCAAAGAAGATAGAAATATTAGATGTGAGCTATAATCTTCTGACTGAGGTTCCTATGAGGTAAGTGTGTGAATATATATATATATATATGATATACATGTATCATATATATATTCACACATACATATATATGATATACATGTATATTAATATATGTTTATAAGCATGTATTTAATTATTTTCCTAGATTTGGGTTACCTTGCATAGGTACGTTCATTCATTTGATCAATAAATATTGAGTGTCTGCTGAGTGTGGGGCAGTGTGAAGTGCTCTGAGGGATACAGTAACGGCTAATGCATAGTCTTGGCCTCCAAGAAACTTAGTAAGCAGGTAGCTGGACTTGTGCACAGATAACTGATTAAACCTAACAAGAATTGCTGGCATAATTTGGTGATATGATACTAATAATAATTTTTATTAGATGAGTTATTGTGAGTTGGGCAATGTTCTAAGACCTTCATTTTCATTATCTCACTTAATCCTCTGACAGTCTTATTATACAAGTGCTGTTATTCTCATCTCACAGATGAGGAAACAGGCTTGGAGTGGCTAGGTAACTTTCCCAAGGTCATACTTAACTAAGAAATGATAAGAGCTGACATTTGAATGTAGTCATTCTTGCCTTCAGTTTTCATCAATGCACTGTATAAATAAAACATTTTAGAAATTCAGAACTTAAATAGTTAGAGAATGGTTCATGGAGAATGCATATTTGAGCAGAACTTGACAAGATGGTGTGATTTCTGTGTGTGGAGTGGGGAAAGAGAGGTGCTTTTGGAGAGGGTAAATGTTGTATTCAAAAGCATTGAATGTACTGTTTACATGAGGAGTAAAATGAGTGGTTATCACCTAGTGGAGTATTTAAAATTAAACTAGAGACTTTGCAGTATAGTAGGTATGAACCCAAGCTTTGGAGTTGGACCTTAGTTCAAATCCTCACTGTGCTGTTTTCTACATTCGATGTGAGATCTTTGGCTAACCCTTCTGAACTTCATAGTTAATTGGTATAGCACATTTTAAGCACAGAATGGTGGTTTTGTTTTAATAAATTTTGTTACTAATTTATTTTAGTTAATTAATAGATTCACTGAATTTTTGGTGCTGTCTACACTTAAAATCTCAGTTGATTTATTCTAGAAATTGTTTGCTTAGATCTGTTCTGTGCTGTTTGCTTTTGTCAATTCACCTTTTCCCAAGTGACCTGTAAGGACTCCTGATGGGTGGGGGGAAAAAATACAGCCATGGCTGCTGTCTTGGCTCAGGCATTTTTTGGTGACTATACTGTCTAGGAAAGTATGTTTCTATTCATTTTCTGATTTCACTTCAATATCTAAGGGCAGACTCAGAAAGAAAGACTTAAGTTTTTTGTGTCTTTGTACTGTCCCCTGACCCCGACCCCACCTCCAGAATTCTTAGTAGCTTGAGTCTTAGAAAACTGATGGTGGGACACAACCATGTGCAGAACCTCCCAGTGCTGGTGGAGCACATCCCTCTTGAGGTGTTGGATATTCAGCATAACCTACTCACCAGGCTGCCAGATACCCTCTTCTCCAAGGCCTTAAAGTAAGTACTGTAGACTGTATTTAGAAGAGCAGAATCATTGGCTTTAACAAACAGCGTTGGCTTGTCATTGAGATGACCTTTGGAACTAGATCTACAGTGTTTACCTCATAGTCTAGCTATGGGTGGAGACGTTGGCACTTTTTATGAAGTGAAATATGAAACTTATGAGGAAGTAATCTTCAACTGGAAAGGTGAAATAACCATCAAATAACTTAAGTAGTTATGGTGTTGTAAACAGTTTCAAACAGATGGGGAAGGGTCAGGCTTTCATCTTAGAAAACAAATACAGTTATAACCTTTGAAGAGAAATTAGAATGTTCTGCTACAGCAGTCTTGGCAAATTTCAGCTTTTGCATTAGGAGAAAAGGACGTACTACTAAAGTTCATTTAGTTTTTGCTTCTGGCTTTACCGAGCTATCAGTAAGTTTCATTCTCTATTTGCAGCATTTTTTTACTATCTATTTTGAAAACTGCATTTAAAGGTAACGTTGTTTCAGAAGGTGCTATTTGCTTTCTTACTGTAAATTAACAATTAGATAATATGTCTTCTTATTTTAACACCCATAATCGGGTTTATCTAATGTGCATGTCACTGACCATTCAGTAAAAACTAGTTTTTAATTATAGCCTCCTGCAATATGGAGAAGGCAATATTGTCTCCAGTTTAGAAGTAGAGAACACAGAGATAAGCAGTAGTAATTTAACATAAGGCTACAGCAGTGATTTTCAACTGGTATGGCACGAGAATTTTTAAAACATGTAGTACCTATTCAGAGGTACTGACCTCTTTTTCCTTAGGCTGTCAAATAAAAAAAATGACAACAGCCAACACAACAATAGCCATCTGGTGTGAATGAATCAAAATCATACCTATTTTTTTGTTAGATTGACAAAATATATATTTTTTTGGTGTGCCACAGAGTTTCAGTAATTATCTTGTGTGTGCCATGAGATGAAAAAGGTTGAAAGTTGCTGGGTTACAGGAAACATAGAAAAAGCATTTAACTCACAAATGCCCGGCTTGTTTTTTGTCAGTTCATACATCTCAATACTTTTCGTTGGACTTAATAAAAAATCTTTGGAAATTCTAGAAAGTGTTTGAATATATAATATATACAATATATAAGTATAATTTGGCATTAGCCTTTCTGGGCTTAGTTTGGCAATATGTATATGAAAATCTTAAAGATACGTGTATCCTTTGACCCACAAGCGTTGTTTCTCGGAATTGTAGCCTAGAGAAATAATTGCCCCGGCTGGGTTCTCAGTTGGTTAAAGAATTGTCCCAATAGCCAAGGTTGCAGTTTCAGTCTCTGGTCAGGGTATATACATGATTCAACTAGAGGCCCTAACTGGTGTGACTCAGTGGATTGAGTGCTGGCCTGTGAACCAAAGGGTCGCCAGTTCGATTCCCAGTGTAGGGCACATGCCTGGGTTGCGGGCCAGGTCCCCAGCAGTGGGTGTGCAAGATGCAACCATACATTGATGTTTCTCTCCCTCTCTCTTCCTCCCTTCCCATCTCTAAAAATAAATAAATAAAATATTTTTAAAAACTAAAAAAAAAAAGGATTCAACCAATGAATGCATAAATACGTGGAACAACAAATTGATGTTTTTCTCCCTCCTTCCATCCCTCTCCCTCTCTCTCTTTGTCTCTCCCTCCTTCTAAAAGTCAATAAATAATTAAATAAATAAATAAAAGAAATAATTGGATAAGGATATGAAGGTACTTGTTACAATGTCTATAACAGCAAACAGTTGGAAACAGCCTATATGCCCATTATTAGGGGATTACAAGGATTTGGATAAATAAATAAGATGCTGTTAAAATCAGACAAAAATTTTTCTGAAGGGTGTCTTCTTAGTTTATATATTTGTGAACATGATACCCAACAGCACTCTTTTGGGGGACATACACATAGTAAAAGATGAAGCTAGGGTAGATTTCAGGACGCTACAGAAGCCCAGGACTACATCTAACCTTGTATTCTCAAATAGAGTACAGAATAAATGAATAAATAGAATAAGTGAAGTCAGATAGACTTGCATGAGTTGAATAAAAGGAACTTTGGTTGTGTAGAACCGATCAGGAAACTACCTGGAGAAAATTACTTTTGTCATGAGTTTTGGAGCATGTAATGGCAGTGTTCACTGCTGAGATGGCATGATGTTTTCTACACAAGGCAACAAATAACCATGAAGGAAGTGATGATTTGTGTGTGTTCTGTCAGCCTCAGATACTTGAATGCATCCGCAAATAGTCTGGAGTCTTTGCCATCGGCTTGTGCTGGGGAGGAGAGCCTGAGTGCCCTGCAGCTGCTCTATCTGACCAACAACCTCCTGACGGACCAGTGCGTGCCCGTCCTGGTGGGGCACCCGCACCTGCGAATCCTGCATCTTGCAAACAACCAGCTACAAACTTTTCCCGCAAGGTAGATGAATGTAAACTTTGGTCATTTCAGACAAATAACATGAATTCCACATGTCAGACTATATTGTAGCTGTCTTGCTGGGCCCTCTTGCTTTATGCTTGAGTGACTTACTGATGCTGTGATTCCACTAATTGAATGGGAAAATGTTTGTAACCAGTTGTTATGTATCAGTAACCAGAGAAGTTGTGGTTAAAGTGTCTTTAAATCTTAGTTGTAATTACCTAATAATGAATGGTCTGAGAATTTTTAACCTAGAAAAGTAGAGCCTTATGAAATAAATTAAATTCTGGAGTTAATTTTTCTTTTGTTAGCACTGTTTTATAAAATACTGTTGAGTTTATTAATTCATTATATACAGTTGACCCTTGAACAACATGGGGGTGACGGGGAACGAGCTGATCCCCATGCAGATGATATAATCCACATATAACTTTTGACCCTCCAGTCAGCCTTTTGCATATGTGGATTCAACCACCTGTGGATAAAAAGTAATATGTTTGATCTGTATTTGGGAAACCGTGATTAGGATGCGAAAACGCTGTTTCCCATCCACAGTTGGTTGAATCTGTGAATGGCAAACCTGTGGACATGAAGGGCCAAATGTACTTATTGAAAAAAATCAGCATATAAGCGGACAAGTGCAGTTCAAACTCATTTTGTTCAAGGTCAGCAGTGTATATATTGAATGCCTACTGTATGTCAAGTACTGTGTAAGTGCTGAGGAAGCAGTGGTAATTAAGTTACAGTCTCTATCCTCAAGGAACTTACCATCAAAATGGAGAAATAGACAAGTATATAGGCCATTGCAATGCAGTGTAGTAAATGTAGGGTGTTAAGGGTATATACAGGTAGCTAGCTGTACTGCACAGAGCCTGAAGGTGGGGTTGGCCTTCTGGAGGAAGAGATGAATGGCAGTTAGTCAGCCTCCACCTATAAGGAGACATAAGAGAGACCTTTAATGTGGTCAAAGTTTTAAACAGTGTCAGTAGAAAAATAAATATCTTCCAAGATACATTTGATACAATTCGATACCAGAAAAACCCATCTATACATGAAAGTAATATTAAAACTCCTGTTTTGAAAAAAACTTAAAAAAAAAGAGAAATGTTTGATACATAATTTGATTGAAAACAAAACTATATATTTTAGTTCTAATTTTATTTTATAAAATGTGATAAAACTCTCAGCAAAACTGATAGCATTATAACTTCTGTGAGTGCTTATGAAATGAGGTAGTTAGAGCTTATAAAGGACAAGCAGGGTAAACTTGACTGCTTCCTAGAAAGAATTTAAATGGTGGCTTTTAAAGTGAATGCAGAACCTTAATTTCAGGCTGTGATAGGTCTATTGAAATCCTTTGAGATTAATTCGGTTGGCCCCACATATCATTATATAAAGTGAAAATGACAGACCACTGACAAGTTAAATTGGTTTATGAAGGTGTTGGGAGATACCAGGTTGAATACTCTGACTCTACCTAATTCCACCTAATTTGATGACACTTTTATTGTTGGAGAGGTCAAAAACAGGTGGATATAAAACTTAAAACATATTAAAAATATAAAATATGAAGTTAAAAGTAAAGACAAGAATGAACAGGAGATCATACAAAATTAGAGTACTCTGAATTGAGATAATAAAACTAAATTAAATTTAGGAGCAGTACATTAAAGAAAATGTATGTTCTGTACTGAATAATAAATCCACTGCTAGGTCGTCTCCTAAACAGTGTTATAATCGCACAGGCAGAATCCAGATCTTTGGTTTCTTCTGCACTGTCTTCAGAATCTAGCACAGTTCTGGGTGCCCTGTAACAGACTGAGATAGGAACACTAAGGCAGAAAGATCCAAGCAGGGAGTGGTATGAGAGAATAGCATGAGATTCGGATGTGGAACACTTTTAAAATATATTGTTGTTTTAAAAAAGCAAATTATAAAACATATAATGTAGCATCATTTCTTAATTTGAAAAAACAGTTTAATGCATTAACAAGAACAAGAATACTCTCCACCAAAATGTCTTTAGCGATCTTTGGTAGTGGGATTAGAAGTTTATTTTCCTGACTGTTTCTTTTTTCAGTGAATATATACTACTATTGTAATAAAAAGAAAACAGTTTTAATTTACTGTAAAAAGTATTTATGGCTTTTCTAGCAATAGAAATTTTTTATGATATGTTACATGAAAAAGGCAGGATATGAATTTTATGTAAAATACGCATATGAAAAGTTAGGAAATTCAGCAAAATAAGAATAATTCATTCCGATTGGTGGAATTATTGATTTGTTTTCTATATTTTCTAAATGTTCTCTACATGTTACAGCAGTTTATAATTTTTTAAATCAGTAAATAAAAAGAAATTCAGAGCAACTTGTAATAATCTAGATAAAGGTGTTAGGCAATCTTAAGATATTTTGCTTATTGTGGAGAAAGCTTTGCTCAGTCCAGCAGAACAATGTGAATCACTTATCTAGCACAGCACTGTATGTATAATAAAAACTCAATAAAATGTTTAGCAAATATGGATTATGTTATGAGTAGGTAACTATAGAAATATAAAACTGAAAGGACTTCTGGTAATGATTTAGTACAGCTTCTTTTATAGCTGAGGATATTGGTATAAACTGACATTAACTAATGTAATGTAGTATTTTGCAACTAGTTAGTGACAAAGCAGGTACCACAGTTAATTTACCAACTCTAGGCTGATGCTGATTCAGCTGCTTCCTATAAGTCACAAAATAGGAAGCTGTTCATACCCACAAGATCCAACAGCTGTAAGAGAAGAAAGGGAAGCTTCGGTCCCTGAAAACACAGAGAAGAGAGGCAGATTAGGCTGAGATTTAGCAGGAGCAGTCACCTTGGTGAATGCATCCCTTTTCTGGTGTCTGATTTCATTATGACCAGTCATCTGGCAGTGGACCAGGTCGCCTCTGTAATCTGACTGCTATAAAACTTGTTTGGCAGCTCCTTTTGGGTGCAGCATGATATATTGTTGTTTCTTTTTCAGCAAACTAAATAAATTGGAGCAATTGGAGGAACTGAATCTAAGTGGCAACAAGCTTAAAACCATTCCCACGACCATAGCGAACTGCAAAAGGTTGCACACCCTTGTCGCACACTCTAACAACATCAGCATTTTCCCAGAAATACTGCAGTTGCCTCAGATCCAGGTACTTGATGGGCTGGAATGATGTTCCTCTGGGGGCAGTGGCAGGAGTGTGAATGAGATTGCTCTCATAAGGAAGAAGGAAGTGGCAGTTAGAGATCACAGTATATTTAGTGGATTCCTGGGAAGAGATTATGTCCTTGGAGCATATAGTAGGAGATTGAGTGTAGGGAATTAAGAATTAACTACCTGTGATGTATTTTCTTTTGACTTCTCCATTTTCCTCTCAGTTTGTGGACCTAAGTTGCAATGACTTGACAGAAATCCTAATTCCAGAGGCTCTGCCTGCTACCTTACAAGATCTTGACCTGACTGGAAATACAAATCTGGTTCTGGAACACAAGACGCTGGACACATTTAGGTAAGAAAAATTTTGAAAATGAATCCCCATGTGCCTCGTCCCACCAGCCACGTATTGGTCTTCTTAAGGACTGTGGAGATCTTGATTGTTTAAAGGAATAGAATGGTTGAAGCAATAAGGCCCCTTGGTTCTCTACTTTGATTCAGTTATGGATGAATGTTCTGTCCATCCATGTAAACATTCTAGTCCATTTATATTAGAACTCAGCATCATGGCCATTGCACAGCTACACACTGATTATCTTTATATGGCAGGCATGGGCAGATGTTTTGGGTGGCACAGATCACATTACATTACAACATGTAAGGGACAGTGCAAGCTCATTCATGTACCAAGACCTAACTGTGTCAAAATACTTAAAATAAGTAGACAGTTGGTTGAAACTTTGAAATCTTTGTTATGCTTAGTTTTCATTGAAATGAATAGTATCAGTTTTAACAACATCTGGCCCCGATTTCTTCCTCCTACCCTTTTCCTTTCCTCTTTGTCTAGTGGGTCAGCACACCACTTTCAGTTATTCTCTCTGGAAATGAATCTTTGTTAACAGGCTATTTTATAAAAACATATATTATTGTTGGGACAGTTTTTGTAAAATACAGAAGCATGCATGGTTTAATCTTTCCTTCCTCCACTTCCCACAGCCATATCACAACCCTGAAAATTGATCAGAAACCTTTGCCAACCACTGATTCTACAGTTACATCAACTTTCTGGAGCCATGGACTGGCGGAGATGGCAGGTCAGAGGAATAAGTGAGTATCATGGCCATGGAGACTGAGAAAGAAAAAAGGCAGCCCCTGACATCTGGAAACTGATCTCATGCTAAAAGCAGGGCTGTGTTCTCCCGTTGCACATTAACAAATCACAGAATGTCAGCATCAGATCAGATCCCTTTGAAACCATGATCCAGTGAGACAGAAACAAGATGCATGTGCAGGCCACAAAATACTAAATGCTCTCTCTCATCCCTAAAATAGGTGACTACCACTTTCTGGGTACCAAGTACAGATTTATCCTTGTGTTACTCTTTTCCTATACATAAGATTTATTGAGCTACCCAACCATAGAAATGGCTATGCTTTCTGACAGCACCCAATCTAGTATGATCACCCCTTCATTAGACCTTCTCCAAAATGACCCAGCCAAAGCCCAGATCCTGTGCTAGGTTTTGCAACACCCATTACCTGTACACCCCAGAGCTCCATGATGTGCATTCTCCCCTGCTGCAAGGCACACTAAATCCAACTGGTTCAACCGCAGGTGTGCTCCTGGGGGTGGTCTCTGGCTGGCGCTGACAATGCTAGTCCTTAATTACTACTAAGAGAAAATATTTCATCTTTCCAGCTTTAGGCAGTGTTGCAAAGCTAATGTGTACTGCCTATAAATATGGCTGAAAGTCCCCATTTCTTATAACATTTACTCTTTCAAATACTGCTTAATTTTCTAACACGTTTTCATGTGTTTTTCTCTACCTTCAACTAGTACTCACTTTTTAAAAGAAGGCTCCCCAGAGATAATCCTTTTACCAGTAATTTTCTTTGATGTTTGTGTTTCTTATATGTCTGTAATAGGCTGTGTGTATCTGCGCTAGCTGTGGATAACTTTGCAGAGGGGGTTGGAGCTGTGTATGGCATGTTTGATGGGGACCGAAATGAGGAGCTCCCTCGCCTACTCCAGTGCACCATGGCAGATGTGCTTTTGGAAGAGGTACAGCATTCAACAAATGATACAGTGTTCATGGCGAACACCTTCTTGGTATCTCACAGGTAAGCAGGTGGGTTGAATAATCCCTAACTGAGTTCTACTTTTGGAAAATAAATCTCACTAAGCCAGAATATCAGGGTCTAAATTATAGGGACAGGATCAAGATGAAACTGTGCTCCTTCTGCCCTGACTATTCTTTCTACATCAGCGTGAAATATGAGGGTTTTGATTCTTTTAAGTATAGTCAGTGTTGAAATGGAACAGCCAGGAGCCCAAACAGGTTTTCTCTCTTTATAACACAAAGCAAAGAGGTTGGGAAAGGAGTCTATTTTTCAGCAATAGAATTGAGCCAGGAACTTGGCAAAATAAAGGATTTAAGAAAGAGAACTCAGTTTATGAAGTACCACCTGAGAGCCGGACACTGTACCAAGCATTTCTCATACCATATCTTTAATTTTCAAAAGAAGCCAAAGAGGTGGGTATTTTATCAAAAAATTTCTCAGAGAAATAACTTGCTAAGGATCTATCTATAGCCAGTAAATGGCAAAGCTAGAATTTGAAACCAGGTCTTTTGATAGCATCTGCTCTGTGCTTATTAGTATCGTGTACTAAGTGCTGGGGGATGGTTGCCAAGTATATGGAAGAAATGCAAGGAAAATTATAGTCCTTCCTTTAAGGAATTTACAACATAAATGAGTGGTTCTCAATGTGTTGTTCTGGGACAGTAGCCTCAGCAGCCTCAGCATCATAGGAAACTTGTTAGAAATGCGAGCTATTGGGCCAGTCCCTTTCTGCTGAATGAGAAATTCTGGGGGTGGGCCCTGCAGCCTGTGTTTTAACAAATTCTCTAGGTGATTCTGATGCCTTAAAGTTGAAACCACTGACGTGTAGGCCATTGTGGTCTCTGGTCAGTCACAAAGAGAAGGAGCAGAGAAAGATGTACCTTCACTAGCTCCTGTAACGTCACCCTTTGCGTGAAATGCCATTACTTAGTGAGCTAAGATTGGAAGGCACAGTGCTCTTCAGCATCATCACCTATAACAAAAGACAGCCTTCAGGTGGTTAAAAGTGAGGCTGGGTCACAGTCACATGGTAGGAGAACAAGGAAATCATGGACATAAAGTACTGCCGCTTTCTTCTAAAACTAGCTACCATGTTTTCATTTTCTTTTTGTTCCAAACAGGAAATTAGGGATGGCTGGTCAGAAGCTGGGCTCCTCTGCCCTTCTTTGTTATATCCGCCCTGATACTGCTGATCCAACAAGTAGCTTTAGCTTGACAGTGGCCAACGTTGGCACATGCCAGGCAGTCCTGTGCCGAGATGGGAAACCAGTGCCCCTCTCTAAAGTCTTCAGCCTGGAACAGGATGCGGAGGAGGCCCAAAGGATAAAGGACCAAAAAGCCATCATAACAGAGGTGAGTCTCACTCTCCACCAGTTATTTCTACTCCCCCAGTCTAGTACACAGAGGCGGTGGAGGTCCACTTCCTCCTGTCAAGCCTTGTAAATTGTATCCGGGCCAGATAATAGTACTAGAGGAACATCTAATGAGCAGCTAATGACCAGCAAAGAGAAAAAGCAAATTAATTAGAAGGAAAATCCAAATTTGATCCTTTAGATCAGTGATTTTCAATCTTTTTCATCTCATGACACACATGAACTAATTACTAAAATTCTGTGGCACACCAAAAAATACATTTTTTGCCAGTCTGTCAAAAAAATAGGTATAATTTTGATCCATTCACATTGGACAGCTATTGTTGTATTGGCTTGTCTTTTTTTTTTTTTTTTTTTAATTTGACAGTCTAAGGGAAAAGAGGTCAGTGCCCCTGACTGGATAGATAGTCAGGTATTACATGTTTTAAAAACTCTTGCAGCACATCAGTTGAAAATCACTGCTTTAGATGTATAGCTAGCATATAAAATGAATGTAAATGTCCTCCTTGGTTATTTCCAAACACAAGAGGAATAAAATGTTCTGTGGATTGACATCCTACTGTGAAATGCAAAGTTTCAAAATATTTTTTCTGTTAAATTGTATTTGGTTTGTATGCTTGGGCGGTTTTTGTTTGTTTGTTTTTTAATAACGAAGCATCAGTATATCTACTATTTTACAGCTTTTCTTCTGTTTTAGAAATTAGCGTAACATTTTTGGTTTCAAAGAGACTAGCAATTACATGTGAACCTTGTTTACTGCAAAGCAGAATTCTGTTCAGATCTTTTGGCCATTTTTAATAGGTTTGTTTCTTTATGGTTGAGCTTTAAGAGTTCTCTGAATTTTGGATGCAAGTTTTTACCAAATATGTTTTGCAAATATTTTCTCCCAGTCTTTGGCTTTTGCAGAAAAGTTTTTAGTTTTAATGAAGTCCCACTTATTTTCCTTTCATGGATTGTGTTTTTGTTGTGTATCTAAAAATTAATTGGCAAACCCAAGGTCACTTAGGGTTCTTTTTAATGTGTTATATCCTCTAGGAGTTTTGTGCTGTACGTTTAGTAAATCTGATGTGTTTTGAATTTTTGTGAAAGGTGTAAGCTCCATGTCTAGGTTCTTTTTCTTCTCCTTGCATTTGAATGTCAGTTGTTGAAGCAGCATTTGTCAAATAGGCTGTCTTTGGTCCATTGAATTGCCTTTGCTCCTTTGTCAAAGATCAGTGGACTGTGTGTGTGTGGGTGCGTTTCTGAGCCATCCTGTAAGAATTCTGAAAAGGACAATGTTAGATTTTATCCAAGGAAGCACAGAACCAAAAACTGTATCATTATGATGTAGTTGATACTGTGAATATTCTGGAACTGTGAGGCATTTGCTTTAGGAATGTCTTTCAGTCAAAACAAATGAAAGATAAAAGATAACTTTTTGTTTGATTAGTCTATTTTTACAGAATTTAGTGTTGTTTCAGTTCTTGGGGGAGGGTCCTGGACAAGTAGGAAATATTTTTATAAATGTTATTTTAACCACAGATATTTATTGTTTGCTTATTATAATCACCATGAAAGTGCTTTTATTTCCATTTTACAGTTGAGGAGAATAAAATTGAGTGTTTATGACAAATTCTGATAAATGAGAGAGCCAGGATTTTTCACCTAGAGAATAACTGCAAATATGAAATAAATATATCAATGGCTTTAGAGGTTTTGCTTGGTTTTGTCTTGAAAAGAAATAAGTCTAAAAGTATCTGGCAGATGAATATTCCCAACATAAAACTAGGGTTATTCCTTTTCCTCCAAGTTTAGAATTATATCAGTTATGACTTGATCTGCTATTTACTTTTGGTACAATCCTTACCGAGTAGGTAAATTTGCTACAGATTTCACTTTCCTTTTCTAGGCTAAATATCTTTAGAAATTATTTAATGCTTTAGCTGCAAAGATTCCCTTAGCTATTTAATATCTTCTTGAATCTTTTTGGTCCCAACTGTGCCTTTCAATGAGAAATAATTTTTAATGACCCATTTGTTTTGGCTTCTGAGAATACTAGTGATGCCCATTGTTTTTCTAACAGATGTTTCTCTATTTAAAGACATGCTGAGGCCTATACTTCACTTTAGAGCAAATATCTTTTGAGATTGAGGTGCCTTTTGGCCACTTAATTTTAATTGGTTTTAACATCAGTCCTCTGCACTATTTAGCATAATTACCGTATGATATTTTGTCCTTTTAGAATTTTAGACATTTATTTTTGTACATCCATTAAAAATGACACAGATCCTAGGAAAGATCATATAACGTCAGTTCTGTTTTATTGTAGAGCTCTAAGTATTGTGACCTAGAAAGATACAAACGATACGTCATTGTTGCTTGTTTTTCAAAATTTTCGTTCTGCTGTCTCTAGGATAACAAAGTGAATGGGGTAACCTGCTGTACCCGGATGCTGGGCTGTACATACCTCTATCCTTGGATCCTCCCCAAGCCCCACATATCTTCCACTACCCTTACCATTCAAGATGAGTTGCTGATTCTGGGAAACAAAGCATTGTGGGAACACTTGTCATATACAGAAGCTGTCAGTGCAGTGCGTCATGTACAAGATCCATTAGCAGCTGCCAAGAAGTTGTGCACATTAGCCCAGAGCTATGGCTGTCAGGACAATGTGGGGGCTATGGTGGTTTATTTGAACATTGGTGAGGAAGGCTGCACTTGTGAAATGAATGGGCTCAGCCTCCCAGGTCCTGTGGGATTTGCTTCAACTGCCATCAAGGACCCTCCCAAGCCAACCACTCCTTCCTCCAGCAGTGGTATCGCCTCTGAGTTCAGCAGCGAGATGTCCACTTCAGAGGTGAGCAGTGAGGTGGGATCCACTGCTTCTGATGAACATAACACTGTTGGCCTGGAGGCCGGCTTGCTTCCAAGGCCAGAGAGGCGCTGTAGCCTCCATCCAACACCCACCTCTGGGGTTTTTCAGCGCCAGCCTTCTTGTGCGACTTTTTCAAGTAACCAGTCTGACAATGGCCTGGACAGTGATGATGACCAACCTGTTGAAGGGGTCATAACAAATGGCAGCAAGGTAGAAGTGGAAGTAGATATCCACTGTTGTAGGGGAAGAGATCTTGAGAACTCGCCCACTCTCACAGAGAAGTCTCCTGCCCCATGTCCTGAGGAACATGGGAGAGGATTATTTTTTGGGATCCGAAGGCAGAACAGTGTGAATAGTGGCATACTTCTGCCCATGAGCAAGGACAAGATGGAGTTACAGAAGTCTCCCTCCACTTCCTGTCTCTATGGAAAGAAACTCTCCAATGGCTCTATTGTACCCCTAGAAGACAGCTTGAATCTCATTGAAGTGGCCACAGAAGCACCCAAGAAGAAAACTGGCTATTTTGCTGCCCCCACTCAGCTAGAGCCAGAGGATCAGTTTGTCATACCTCGTGACCTAGAAGAAGAAGTGAAGGAGCAAATGAAGCAACACCAGGAAAGCAGGCCCGAGCCTGAGCCCAATGAAGAGGATCGGACCGAGCTCCCGGAGGAGTTTGACACAGCACTGTAATCCCTCCCCGGGAGTCCCGGTGTCAGGGAAGGCTGTGTAGCATGGGGGTAGGAGACCCTTCCGGAGGCACTTTGCCTCTGCATTTCTAAACCATAGATGAGGGGGTTAGAACTTGGAGCTAAAAATGGTGAGAGCTATCAGGGTCTTGCTCCGGATAAGCTAGTAAACACCATCAGTGTTAAGTTTTACATTTAACCTGCATTGGAATTCCCAGAGTTACTGGGAAGAAAGCAGATGTTGCTCTGTATGTCCTACCACCTGCCATTAACCCTTTCTCTCCTAGGATAATTTTGAGAATTTGCCTGCCTGGGCAGGAAAGGGACTCTTTCTGTGGAGGAAAATAACTGAAGATAATTCCCTTTACCGATTGCTGCTGATGGATCTCTGTGACAGAGAAATCACCTTATGTCTCACCCTAACTGATGGGATGTGATGTAACTAGTCACATGGCTTTTCATTCTTCTCTACGAGAATACAGCCTATCGAAATGATGTTTATTGGAAATGTAGAACCAATCAGATAATTTATGTATGTAATGTAATGAGAGCACTTTTCATTGACTGTGAACTTTTTATTTTCGAATCTGCACTCGAGCCAATCTTCTTAGAGGCAGCCCAGCACCTTTGTCCACAGGTAGAATGATCATCCGGTGTTGGAGCCTTCTGTGAGGGTACCAGGAAGGGCCCTGGGAAACTGATTTAATTTTTGGATGTCAGACTGTGAAAGCTCCTGAGAAACTTTGGGGGATGAAGATGAGAAAGGAGTGAAGACTAAAACTACTTCCCCCAAATCACAAAAAGAGAAAAATCCCTTGACAGATGTGACACCCACTACGAATTTCCCAGCAGATCACAAGCGAGGCATTTGGAGATTGGCCTCTTCATAACATGTAGTGGAGTTGGCAGCCACCCTGCTAGTATGTAGGGCTGAGGCGAATGCTGCTCACAGCCAGGTAACCTTGAGTTAGAACAAATGACCCTGAACAGACTGAGGCTGAATGAGAACAGAATGGCTGGAGCTCGAGGGTCAGACAGATTCCTTCTCTTACTCTAGAGCTTAGGGATGGTTTTCTAAAATGTGCAAGAGAGTTGAGAGTTCACCTCTTTAATGTTTAACAGAGTACTCCCCTGAAAACTGCTTATCCACGTCACGTGGTTTGAGAGTACTGGGTTCAATTACTAATATAAGAAAGAATTAAGAAGGTCATAAGCTCACAGAAAACCTGGTTTACTGTAATTTTTTTTGCACATTCCATGTAATCCTAGTAAAATGCAATTCCATATTTCTGTTCTGTTTCCTTTTCCATTAGAGTATTTACTTAGGAAAGTGAATTCCTATTTATTCCTACAAAATTTGACACTGCTTGATTTTACCCAATGGAGAACATGCTTTGAATTTCTAGAATACTTTCACAATTAAAAAGATAGTAGAGTAAAACCATTTTTAATTCATTTCATGAGAAATAAAATGTTAAAGATATGGTTGATGTATACATTAAATATATGGGTTTTGTTTTTGGGTTTTTTTTTTTTGGGTTTTTGTTAAAGCAGTAGTAGAAAAACAGGTGACCTGTCCACAAATGGTGGTTCATTACGTATCTTCACCTTTTCAGGGGCCCCATACCCATGTGTGTGTTTTGGTGGGGTACACTCTTGGGGGATTCCATACACTTTGATGACTGTCTAAGTTCAACCATCAAGAATCTGAATTTGAGTCCCCAAATTGTCAGGAACACTTGACTTCTCTGTGTCAAACTACTGGTCGGCTACTGCAGAATTTTAGAACTCAGGTCATGATATGAAGTGGGGAACATAGTGGTTCATACAAAGTTTTAGGTGCTGTTAGAAGGATGGGAACAAGAGTGTGTTGCTGCCTTATTTTTATGTGGGGGGCGGGGAGTGAAGGAAAAGTAAAAATGAAGGAAACACCCAAGATAATAGTGATGGGTGATGTAAAACATCCTCCTACCCAGACAACAGAAACTTTCAGTTGCAAAATAGTGATGTCTAGAAAAGAAAGTTGTTAGGAATATACCATTTTAATAGTATAGTCTCTCAAAGTTTTTCCTTTACCTATGAACTCTTTTCTTGTCTTCTTGTTTCCCACCCTTCTTATTGGAACCACCACAAAACCCAGTTCTGAAACGACTTTATCAGAAGTAAATGTATTTACTTTTTAGTCAGAAGAACTCTAAAATTCCAGATGTTCTGTGTAGTAGATGTATTTTCAGGAAACATTAAGTTGTATTGGAAACCTTCAATATAGGCTATACCAAAACTAATTACTCTTTTTTTATAACTTCTCTAATTCATTTTCTTTTATAATTGCTCTGTATTGAAACAGAGGGTAAAAAGGCCATAGCCCATTACCAAAAATATACAGAATCTTTTGACCTATGAGGTCGTTTACAGTCGTTGTGTGAATTGATTAGACTGTCAGGTGGTGAAAGACAGGAATCTGTCTCCAGGTGAATGTAACCTACTTCTTAGGACTTTCCCAGAGGATGTGTTCCCCAGGCGGGCAGAGTACCACTGATCTCTCATCCAGAGATGCTGGCCTCTGCATGATTCTCAGGTCTCTGTGTGTCCCTCCCATTTAATAGAAAAGTGTAAGAGAATTTCTGAAAGAACATCACTCCTGCTTATGGGAGCAGTTCAGCAGTCGTATGGAAGAAGGAAAAATACACGAGTCTTGGCAGCCATGGTATTCTTTAATCCAAATGAATTGGGAATATATTTGAATGCTGATATATTGTAAAACTACCATGCTACCATAGAGTGACTGAATTACCACTCCAAATAAAGTGAAGGCTTTGTTATACTACTGTAGAGTGTATGTGTGCAATAAGTTTATGAGTTCATTTTCCTGGTGTATAGAGGAGCCAACACGAGCAGCTTGGTAATCATTGGGTGCTACTATAATTGCTTGTAGTGAATGCTGTTTTTCAGGAGATGGAGCCAGTTAGTTAGGTTTGGCTGATCTACTGAATAATAAATGATGCTCTTCTTTTCATATAGACCTTCAGCAAAAGCAGGTACTTGGAAGCCATGGGCTCACCTCTATCTACTCAATAATCATTAATGAAGAGACCTCCATAAGGGAGCACTTGGCTGTTATTGATAAATGTATCAATTATTAAATAGTCTCCAAGCCATTCAGTGATGTCTGCAGCATCACTATAGAACTGTGTTGTGTTACTTTTTTACTTCCCTCTGAGTGGGTCTTTTCAGACTCCCCCAATCACAGAGGCAAGTTAATCTTTCTCTCCAGTTAGTGACTTTGCCCCGTAGCTGGATAAGCACTTCCTAGGTTGACAAAAGCAGCTACCGTAAGTCCTGCTCTGTTTCCTTCATTTGGTGATCATTCAATCACACATAAGCTCCTCGTATTCCAAATTCCATGCACTACTCCCAGATGCTGTAGGGTTCTCTCTCACTGTTGCCAATGGATGTCATCCAAACAGTGAGTTCATATCTTGCGGTTTTGTGCAATCATTGTCGTATTGTAGTTATCCTAAGACTCATTATAGTGTATTTTTGATATTTTTGAAATGTGTTAAATTTTTTAATTCAATAATATGAGCCAGAGCATGTTGCAGCAAATCTATTGTTTGTAAAAAATGACAATAATAATAAATAAAATAAAATGGAATCTTTTTCATGGCTTTGTTTTAAAGTGGAATACCTGTTATTTTATAAATACTTTATTTTAGCATGAAACTGTAATTTTCTCTAACTTGTATGTAGAATTAGTTTCTTAACCAAAAACACCATTAGACTTTTTTCTGCTTCTTGCTTTAGGGGAAGATAACAAATGAAATCACATTCCATGACACTCTATGAAGCTATGAGTTAAGGGCAGAATAAATATTTTTATCACCTTTTAAGCTGAAATAGCAATAAAGATTTTTTTTTATGTTAAGAAACATTATATTCTGACTTGGTTTATATGTTTTTTTCAAACACAAAGACAAAACATGGTCCTTATTTACATGCAGGTGATTAGCTGACTAGAGGAAACTTGATTGTAAACAATCTACGACTCCCCTTAAACAAACCTTGGAGTTAATGATGACAGAGGAGCTAAGTGGATAATCTGGCCACCATGTTTCATATAATGTCATCATGACTTTGGTATTACAACTTCAGACATAGTGGTGGGGTTTGGCCCATAAAATACTTATAATCTGGGCAAGCCTCTAAATTGTTCCTCTTCTTCCCCCATTGATTGCCTCCCAAATCTCTGGACTTCAAGCAAGATTACCTACCTCTCACTCCAAATAAAATCCATGTTGAAGTCATATTTCTGGCTTCCGTCTTATTAGAACAAACGTTTTGAGAAGTTGCACCTTCAATGCACTGGGTTCAGAACCATCTACTCTAATACCTCAGTTCCCATGAGAGACATACCTCCCAATTCCAGGGTGGCAAAGGTGAAATTCTCTGTGTGTCCTTTGCTTCGTGTAACATCAGTTCCCTGGTAGACTGAAGGCCACGAGAGTACATTAGTCACAGCACATTCCAGGGTGGGATTCACTGGGTCCTGAGTTTTTCCTCTGCTGTTCAGAAGCTTTGAATTGAGGCAAGTTAACCTCTCCAAGATTAAATGGAAATAATAGTATCTCTTAAGATGTGAGCTTAAATGAGATGATGCAAAATGCTTCCTTAGCTCAGTAGCGGATCTGGCACATAGTGAGCAGTCAGCAAAATGGTCAGCTATTGGATAAACCACTTAACCTTGAACTTCTGTCTCCTCACCTGTAAAATGCAAATGATAAATTTTGACCTGCCTCCCCAAGTGGTAGGAAATAAGACATGGTTGGAAACTGCAGATGTCAGGTGTTGTGATTACAGAGATTGATGGGCTCCAATCACTTGAGAGGCGCTCAGTCTTGGGAGCAGTGTCACAGCTAAGCCTGGGCACAAGGTTGGTGTCATACAGGCCAAAGTCCTCATTTTATCAAGCATGACTCGGACACGGGACATGCTTCAGGGAATAAGTGCTAGGTAAGAATAGTGTGTGGGAGGGAATGGGTGGTTTGATTTTTGCTGCCGTTGAACTTTTTGTCTACCATTCAATGGAAACGGGGGGGCTGAGGGGGATAGAGTGGAAGCGCCTTTCTGTGGTTTGTATTTTAACCTAGCGATGTAGCTTTCTAGTTGGTTAGCTTCCTCCAAGCTTTATTTTTTGCAAAAGTATAAATTTCCCATTCCTGTACAAGGTTCCCTTTTGATCCTTTACTTGGACAGGTTCTTTAAGATTTAGGCAAAGGATTTGGGAGGAGCGAGGACAGGTACTGTTACAGGGAAGAGAGGAGTTGAGGTATGGGGTGGGGGCGAGGGAGAAGTCAGCAAACATGCAGGGATGAAGATGGCCAACACATTAGAGGAAAATGGTGTTGACTTAGTTTTCTAATAGTTGTGTTGGCAAAGGTTGAAACGATGTTTGCTGATTTCTTGCTGTATAGAGAATGTGAGATATCTGTCAAAATTGCTGTTCTTAGAATTTGTTGCTGTTACTAGAATAGTTTGATCTTGTTTATAATATGAACATAAAACAATGATATAAAAAATTAGTTATTGAAAAGAGGAAAAATAGAAAAAGAACCCATATATAATGTTTATAGTTGCATCTGACATGAACTGAACATCTGAGACTAGTTGTAAAGTATAGAAACAGCTATAAAACTTTAGATTAAAATTGTGGAAATAACTTTATTTTTGAGATTTAGTTTTCATGACCTGTTACATTATAAAAACAATTTAAGGTAATCAGATACTACAATCTGCCTTTGAAGGTCTACCATCAGGAGCAGTATCGGGAAAAGCAGCAATGGAGGAGCCTTCTATAAGCCTTTACACTCTAGTAAAATTAACTTCTTTACCTTTGAAATAGCTGAGTAACACATTTAAGAAGGTTATGACTCTTATTTATCACACTATTGTGGAGCCTCATATTTAAGAGACATATTTCAGGAAAGTTGGATGATTTGCAACAAAAAAGAAACTAACTTGGAATGCTGGCAAAACAACATTTTCTCCCAGCCCTAATGCAGGAATCTTGAGGAAGAACATGCATGCTAAAAATCCCTATCTTCGTGTATCAGAAATCCAGCCCCCATCTCTAATGAAAGAAGGCTCCACGGGATCCAGGCAGTCATGGTGCCCTGTGGGCAGAACAGTCTGCCTTCTATAAAAGGGTTAGAATGTAATTACTCCTTTAGAATTCAATCACACAACTGCTTTAAAATCATTCCCCTGGGACCAGATCTGAGGGGAAATGGCATGTTTCTTTTGGTGACTCTAAATAGTTAAGACAGGTAAGATATTCCTACTGTAATGCTGGGCCTGGTGTTTAGTTTTCAACTTTCAGAGTGTCTCTGTCTACTTAGGCATCATCATCATTACCTTACCATTTGGTAAGGGAGCCATACCATAACGGCACACCCAAACTTCTGATGTTCTTTGCGGCAAAAGTGAAGTAGTTTTTTTCAAGCTCTGAGCTTGAAAAGCTTATTGATAGAAAAGTGAGGTGACCGTCTAGCTTTGCATTGGTACCAAAGAGAGCATTTATAAAATCAAGTATGTGAAAACACCAGTTGTCAAATGTGTGATTTTTAAAGGACCCATCCTTTTGAGAGAGACAAGGGAGGTGGGTTGACATTTAGGTTCCAGAAGATCTCAGAGTGTTCCAGACCACAGGTATTCCGGGGCTTCACCGTGATTTCTGTGCTGTTCTCGGCTGTCTTTGTAGTGCTTCTGTTCTCGGTAGCTCCGTAGAGCCAGCACCACGCTGGCTCCGTACATTATCACCAGAAGACAAGCAAAGGTGGCTGCTGCTCCATCAGTGCCTGCCAGCTGGCAGTTCATCCAGGTGAGGCCTTTGCGAGCATAGAGCCTCTCTCTTGTTTTGCAAGTGTTTGTAGCATTGATCCGCAAGGCTACATGGAGGTAAATGCCAATGCCTATGCAATAGCCCACTGCTGCCAGGAGGCTGAAGGTGGCCTCCAGGAGCAGCCACTTCCTTGGCAGTTTGGTTGGACTCTTGGCTCCTTGGAGTAAAACCCCCATGGTGAGGACACCCAGCCCCAGAGAGACAGCCACTCCGCCGTATATGAGGGGTGCCCGGAGGACTGTGTATTGCTGGTCCAGCTGCCGCACCTGCTCCAGCTCGGTGCCCTCAAATGGTGAGTAATAGTTGTTCCCAAAGCCGCCGCCACTGGTAAAGCTGGCACTGAATCCAGCAAGGACAAAGTAGGAAGCCACGATACACATGAGAACCATCCCATTCAATATCACCTCCACTATCTGTACCACACCTAGGAGGAGAGAGAGTTGCGATTTAGCATGAACATCACTCACCCTAGAAAACTTTTTAGGTCAGACTAGAGACATACGGGTGGCCAGATTTTAAGGACATGGTCAGATTCAACATTAACATCCTTGGTTTGTTTTTCAATATTCATACATTTCAAAAACCAAAATGTCACTGTGGAAAATTTTTTGGCAGTTTTTAAATGTTTTATTTATTGATTTTAGAGGGAGAGAGAGGTAAGGGGGGGGAGAGAGAGAAAAACATTGATTTTTTTTTCATTCCACTTATTTATGCATTCATCAGTTGATTCTTTCTTGTATGTGCCCTGACCAGAGATCCAACCCGCAACCTTGATGTATCGGGATGATGCTCTAACCAACTGAGCTACCTGACCCAGGCTTTTTGCCAGGATTTTTTTTTTTAAACTAAGCATACACTACCATGTGACCCTACAACTGTATTCCTCAACTCTTATCCTAAAGAAATGAAAACTTAGGTCTACACAAAAACATGTACATCCTAAAGAAATGAAAACTTAGGTCTACACAAACACATGTACACAAATGTTCACAATAGCTTTATTTGTAATAGCCAAATATCAGAAACAACCCGAATGCCCCTCAATGGGAGAATGGTTAAGCAATCCAGCACATCCACACCAAGGAATATTCAACTCAACAATACAAAGGAACAAACTGTTCATACAGGCAACTTGGATAGTTCTCAAGGTAATTATGATGAGTGGGGGGGGGAAAACCCAGTCTCAAAAGGTTATACACTGTATGATTCCATTTATGTAGCAGTCTCAAAATGACAAAGGGGTAGAGATGGAGGACAACGGACTGTGGATACTGGGGACGGGGGTGACAGTAAAGAGGGGGCACAAGGATGCCTGATGATGGAACAGTTTTATACTTGACTATGATGGCAGTCACATGACTCTACATGTGATAAAACTGCACACACACACATGAGCGCATGTAAAACTGGTGGCATCGAGGCTCTGTAGCTTATCAGTTTCCTGGTGTGATTTTATTACACTATAGTTATGCAAGATGTTACCGTTGGAAAAGTTGAGTTTAGGGTACAGGATCCCTGTACAATTTTTTGCAACATGAATCTATATTTCACATTTTAAAGTTTTTAAAAATCAAAATGACATAAAAAGGTATGAACTGAGAAAAACCACTCCCGGCCCTGTCCACCCTGTTCTCTACCCCCAGCCATGTCCATGATTTTCTACTACACCTCAGAGCGCTCCCTTGTGCAGGTAAAAGCACACTCAAACCTGCTTTTCACACCCCCTTTCCTGGCTTTTTTCCGTAAGGAAGCGCACCCTATATGTTATTTTCTTTTTTTCCCTAGTTGTAAGAACTTAGCTATGAATCGGTAAGATCATTACCCATTTAACATAGTCCCCGAATGAGTAACACATCTGTAAGACAAGAGGAAGGTCCCTTCGAGTTTGAAATTCTGTTGCACAATCCTGCCTGTCTTCTTTGTTGAAGAAGTTGTAGTTATTTTCAGAGTCCAGTCCAGGAGCCAGCACCTTAAAGCAGGTATCAGGTGGTCCACCACAGCCACAGGCACACGAACAGGAACAGCCCAGGTCCACCAGAACAAACAGCCAGAGGTCCAGCCAGTATGAGTGCTCAGGCAGCCGGTCTGCGGGCGCAGGCTGCACCCGGTGGTTCTGCTGCAGACTCACTGCGTCGCCCGGGCCTCGCCGCTCCCGGGGCCCCTCCAGGCTGCCTCCTGCCACCGCCACCACCAGGTGTTCCTCCATGCCCCCCCCATCCCCCCGCCGCACCACAGCCCTGGCAGCCAGAAACCTGGCAGGTCGCCCCATGTATTATTTTCCATCTTTTTTTTTTCATTTATTCTTCCCAGAGATGTTTTCAGATCAGCTCCTGCAGTGTCCACATTGTTTGTTGTGTGGCCTCCATCCAACCGCACTGTGTGAATGTACCAGACTATTCAGGATCCTAAGTAGGGACACCGAGGCTGTCTCCTCAGGCATTCTTACCAGTTCAAGGAACCTACAAGTGGCATGAGGAGGCAGTGGGAGCCACAGGTGAAAGGAGATGAGTGTCTTCTCATCCAAGGTCAGCCCTCATTTGTAACTGACAGAGGCCCCAGGCTCTTTGAGGTATCCTTCTGCGAGAAGGTCTCCCGCCATTCTCTCAAGGTTCAGAGATCAAATTAAGAGAAAAGCATATGAATCTAGAGTGGAAACACCAGCTTCCTGTCCCTACATTCACTGCCTTGTGACCTTGTCTGTGATCACTGTCTATAAGCCTCAGGTACTTCACGGTCAAATGAAGATAGTGCCTGCTTGTCTTACCCCACAGGACATGGCAAGGCCCAAATGAAAGCAAGAACATGAAAATACTTGGAAAATCATAAAATGTTACACAAGTGGATGGTGATGCTACTCAATAACATTTAAAAAATGGAAGGGTCTTAATGACAGATTTAAGAGCAGGACGAATTTATGGAAAGCACAGCTTCTCAGAAATCAGGAAAACCCTCTAATACACTAGGTGCACCACACTGTTCATGAACTGGGTGACTAAAGACCAGCATCTCTATCTAACATACTTAGGCAACAGCTACTGGGCTTGCGGGTCCATCTCCTGTGGGGCCAACATGAATTCCTAGGAGGTCCACGGGACATAGCAGTCGAGGGCTCTGACGGTAGAGAAGCTACATTCCTCTCATTTAAATCTGAAAAGAACAGCAGATGGGAATTACCCACTCTCTGCCCAGGCACTGAAACTACTGGCCACTCCTGAGTGACTTGACCCAGACATCATTCTAATCCTCAGGGAGTGAATTCTCCCTACGCATCACCTTTCTCTGCCTTGGTGTTCCTTTTATGCACATGTTAACATCTCACCCCCCGAGGAGAGAAAGGAACACCGTCCCAGTACAAGGTGTGGAAACCTGAACATTGCCTCCTGGGACAGATTCTGTTAAAACAGCAGACTCATAATCCGTGCAGCAAATATCTGCTAGGCTGAAATGGAATAAACCTAGATCTTGTCAACCAACCCACTGACTGTGACAACTGAGAGGAATAATGGCCTGTTGCCGGGTCCAGTGATACTGGGTCTGTTGAAGGAATATGGCCACTGAATAATGCCACAGTTCCAGCTGGCCTGACCTGGCTCAGCTATTAATGTCAGTCAGGCTCAGGTATTTCCAAGCATGCTGTTGGCGCAGAAAGAGTCACAGACATCGGAGAGAAGAAAGAGGCTGGCCAGAGAGAGCGGTGTATTTCTATGGTGAGATGGAACAAGTCGCTTGGAAGAGAGCAGAGGGCTCTCCAGAGGGAAATGGAGACTGACAGAGATGTGAGATTTGTAAATAGCGTCTTTCTCAGTGATGCTGCTTTTGCGGCTGATCACTTAATACTCTGCTTACCTATACTCCTACTTCTGTCTTTGCACTGCAAATGTGAAAAAACAGCAGAGCAGGTCAAATTATTTTTTTATCTAAAATAAAACTAATGCATGGGCAGCCATGCATTAAATGAAAAATTTTAAATCTCCTCTCCAGAAGCAAATATTGTTAATGCTTTCTTATCCAAGAAATTTTCTAATCATATACAAGTACACACATACACTTATTCCCTTTTCTAAACCCAAATGAAAACCACCTTTTAAATGTGAGGTTGCCTGTATTCAAGGGAATAATATTATAAATGTAAAGAGAATCATACTAAATGTAAAGAGAAAATTAACATTTTCTTTGGATTTTTATTAGAGTCTCATAGGGCAAAGAACATATTCACTTGTACCAAGAATATACTGTAATGGACTATAAGTCATAATTTAGCATGTAATTAAGAACCCATGAAGTTGTCTGGCTAAAAGTAGAATTCTTCTTTTGGGAAAGAGTTTACATTCTTTTATTCTGGATAGATCCTGAATTCCAGATGTCGGGTGTTATTCTTCATACAATGGTACATTTATAAGAGGTACAAAACACTTATTGAGCTTTCAAGCCCATGGTAAGGGGCTTGTTAGAATAGTTTCTTTGCAACCCAGTGAATTAATCTGATTCCTGTTTCCTCAGCCCACGCCTACCTCCAACCTAAATTTTACAGGAGTTTTCTCCCCAGGACCCCCACCCCCTCTGTCCAAAGCATTAAGGAAGTGAAGGACTGCAGAGTTCAGTGGAAAAAATTTGGGACTAATCTGCTTAAGACAGACGTGTTTTAGAAGAGTTCAGGCTGAAATGTTTCATGTCTATGTGGCTTTTCATGAACTTTGAAGATAAGGTTCTTTAAATTCACTTCGTTATCTCCCTTTATTTAATCAAGAAGTACATGTTGCTGCAGCACATGCCTTTTCCTTGTGAGTCTTGGGCTCCGGTTTTTGTTTTAAAAATAATTTTGGTTAGTCCCTCACCAACAGAGGACTCCAGAACCAGGCTTATTACATAAGAGAATAACAGTCCATGTAACCTGGAGCTGCACCCAAGATACCAAAGCTGCCCTGTTACCTTTCAAGCCTGGGCAAGTTCTACAACATGTCCCAAGAAAGACCATGATTCAGAGCAGCTTACATCACTTACATATTTGGCAACATCACTTATATTTGGTAGAACTTTTTAAAAAGCCTAAAATGTTAACATTTCTGCAGGCTTCTCTTTGAGCTTCCTGACCTTTCGGTAACCCCTGATGGCCAGCACAGCCCCGAGGGCAAAGGCCCCAATGCCCAGGGCAGCAAAGATGCCAGCTCCTATATCTCCCCCGTGGAAAGCGCAGTTGAAGCCATGGTAGCCCTTGCTCTGGTACAGCGCCTCCCTCTCCTTACACACATGAGAGGCATAGGCAGCGGAGAGCGAGTGGAAGTAAAAGTACAGAGCAGGCACATATGCCCCTGCGATGACCACGTCCAGCAAGCTTTCAACCAGCAGCCACAGAGGGCAATGCCACGGGACCCGCAGGACGCCCATGGCGATGACGAGGCAGGAGAAGGCCATGAGGGCGCCACTGTAGGCCATCGCTGCTGTGACCACGGGCAGCTTTAGCTGGTAGAACTGCACGTCCAGCTGCTGCGCTTTCTCCCCATCAGCACCATTGAAACCACTGTAAGCCCCTCCGTACTGGTAATAGTAAATGCCCCCCAGGCTGGTGATGCCTGTGTAGCCCCCCGTGGAATTGTAAGATACAGAGCTGCAGGCCAGGATCAGCAAGTTCAGGAGAACCTCCATCATTTGGCAGCAGGCTGCAAAAGAAGGGCGCATTACCATTTTGAGAGATGCAGTTCTGCACTCGGAAAAGCCCACCTTGCGGCTGTCTTCCCTGCGGCTGCTCACACCACAGCTGGCTCTCTACTCTGCCCCTGGGAGGCCCGAACTGCCAAGGCTGCATTAGATGGTAGCAGGAACTGTGGTCTCCCGAGGTGACATCAGAGATACTGAGGACTAAAAAAACTAATTCTCAAAAAGAGCAAAGCAGCCTGTCACAGGTGGGGTGCAGGCGATGGTGGGAGAAAGCAGGCCAGTGAGTAGAAAGAAAGGTTCCTATGTGGAAGGCAAGAACTTTCTTTGTCCCAGCCTTTCCCTGCGAGAGAGACTACAAACTAGTCATCTCCTCTTTAGACTTGTTTTGTGGCTATGTTCAGTTTGAAAGAGGAAAAGAAACATCTCTAAGTTTGAAGGAAATCATAATACAAAACTTAAAAAAATATAATGAAGTTAGAAAAAAGTATGGACGATATGCATCAGAATATTAACCATGGTTCACATGTATTAGAAATAAGAGCATTTAAGTAAATTAAACCCAGAGACTTACAGAATTAAATAATTGGTTTTACTGTTTTAGACTTTAACTTGGTAAATATGTTTTAAAGTGTAACTTTGCTTTCCTGAAGAGCCCATCTGTGCGGTGATATTGTCCCAGAGCTCAGTTCTTTCAGGGCCCCTGGCAGCTTTACCGTGGACCAGCAAAGAGCACCAGCTCTTCCACCAAAGCCGGTTGCTTTCCTTAAAACCAGCTTTATTGAGACATAACTTGCACTCAACAAAATGATCCACGTTAAGCATACAGTTTGTTTTGGCACATAATCAGTCATGTAATCATCATCATCATCATCAAGATACAGACCATTTCATCTGCCAGAAAGTTCTCCAGAAAGTTCTCCAGAGAGTTAACCTTTGCAGTCCATCCCTCACCTTCCCCCTCAGGCACCCACTGATGTGCAGAAAGCCATTAGGAACAGATTTGCCTTTTCTAGAATTCCAGGTAAATGGAATCACGCAGTTATGTACTCTTCAGCGTGCAGCTCCTTTTTTCTCAGCATAGGATAAAGCAGGGTCCGCCTGAGCCGGGAGCTCTGCGTGCCGGCAGCGCTCCAACGGTCAGCATCTCCCCAGCTGTCAGAGAGCCGGACTTTGTGCCCGGGTCCATTGGGTCTGTATGTGAAGCTGTGTTACATCTACACATTCTCTAACTGAAATGATAAACTCTCAAATATTACCCTTTTATTTTTTTATCCTTACCAAAGGCATGCTTATTGATCTTTAGAGTGAGGGGAAGAGAGAGAGGGAGAGAGACATCGATTGGTTGCCTCTCATATGCACCCCTTCTGGGGACTGAACTTGCGACCCAAGCATACACCCTGACTGGGAATCAAACCGGTGATCTTTAGGTTTACGGGACAATGCTCCAACCAAGGCACACTGGCCAGGGCTCAAATATTATCCTTACACATTACAATTTTCCTCTACTATGCAAATAGCAATATTATTTTCTTTAATTATAAAAATAACATATACTTAAGTTTTTTTTCTGGACTTTTCTGCTACAAATGCATAATTTTTGCCATTGTTTATTTGCTTGTTTAGGTAAGAACAGGGTCCTATCTATCTACTATTTATATAACCTATTTTTTCACTCAAGAATATACTGTGAACATTTTTTCTATCTCAGCAAAAATAATCTACTTAATAATGTTAAGGGATATAAAGAATACCACAATGATTTTAAATAATTCCAATAAAGGACATTTAGATTTTTCCCAATGTTTTGCTAATGGGAGCAAATATATGCTATAGGTTCTTAATGGAGTATAGGGAGGATGGGAGCCCCCACAAGCCCCTTACTCCTGTCTTAGGCTTAACAGAACCAGAAAAGGGTCACCAGGGCCAGGATGGATGTCCAGGGGTATCCGTTTTTAAAAATAAAGGCTCAGAGACTCTCCAGGACTTCCTTGCCCCTTGAAGGATCCTGGCTCTCTGATAAGCCCCCTCTCTCTCCCAAAAAGCCATAGTTCACTTGGGGTCATTCCTTCCTCTGACCCGGGCTGAATCTTTCAGGTCTGTTAATGAGTTTACACTGTTAAAAATCAAATGTTGTCTGGAATCTTGGTGTAAACTTGGTCCAGATAAGTCGTGGGTTAGGGCATTAAATAAGCACCGAAAAGGGGGCATTGGGAATATTAATTGGAGGAATAAACCTCACAACTGTTCCCCTTGAATCTTTCCAATGTGACCACAAGTCAATGCCATTGGCTGTGGGAAACCAACTCAAAACCTAAGTCTGCAGGCTCTGAGAGGCAAGCACCACTGACTCTAGGAATTACAACTTTCTTGGGAGAAAATGAAATTAAACTTTTAAAGATGCTTTGCAAGTAAGGCTATAAACTGAATGTAAACACCATCATGGTTTGTTTGTTTCTTTATTTATGTATTACAGCTGCCTCGTCACATGGGCCTAGCTCTCCAGTGATCCTCTCCGTGATGATTTTAGTACTAAGCGGGGAGAGGGAATGAACAAAAAGGAAAGGAGAAGCACTCCAAATGCAAACTGAGGGGCCAGGAGGGGAACAGGAAGTGTACTTTTTTCCCAGGGGACATGTAACTCCTCACCGGTCCTTGCAAATAATGCATGAGCCCAACCTACGCATAGACAGGATTCCTGGGGATCTGACACCCACAGGCGACACTTGTGTCTGCTTTTTATCTCATTTTTATCCTCAGCACCTGAAGATTTTAGTCTCTGCCCGTGAAAGTGGTTTAGGGGCCCCTCTCTGTCCGTGTTCTTTCTCAGTGTTCCACAGAACGTCCTAAGTTAGGGTGACTTGTAGCCCAAAGTTCAGGGTCTCCCCACAAAGCCAGAGAGCCATGGCTGCCTCCCCCTTTTGCCAGTTTGCTGGAGGAGGGCATGATCTCACTGATACGGAAAAATCATAAAAGATATACGCTAAGATGGACTACCTTTATCCAGACATGCATTTCCTGCTTGAGAGCAGTTCCTGGTGATTAGTGGCTGTTTCTTTCCACGCGGCACTGTATTGTGTACTTATATGGGCCTCTGCGAGTACAGAGACCTCTACAAGCCCTCATTTGTTAGCTCCTGGCTGCCAAGCCACCTCTCCCTCTCCTGACTCAGAAACCCAACCTCTTGGCCCAAAGCCAAACAGCCAGAAGCAATCAAAGGTAAATCAAGGTGTGTTTTTGCCAGGAGCCTCAAGCTCTGCCTTCTCTTCTTGGTAAATCAACCACAGAAGAAAACATACGTGTGTAGGGAAACCTATTAACCACCCTGGCCTATTGCTATTATTTATATCATCAAGAAAAGAAAAAAGGATTAGCCAAAGAACGTAAGCACATAACTCATAGACACAGACAACAGTGCGGTGATGGCCAGAGGGAAGTGGGGCTGGGCAGAGGGGGGAAAACGGGGACAGCTGTTAGTGTCAGCAATATAAATAAATAAATAAAATAAACCATTTCAGGCCTTAGTGTCAGGCTCTAAATTTCAATTCCAGCTTCACTTAACAGCTGTGTAACTGGGGGTCACTCTATCTTGCTGAGCCTCAGGAGCTGTTGAGGGAAGTTAAAGGCAACGAGGCTGCGCCAAGCGAACGTAAGCTGCGATGAGGGGTCTTGTACCTGGATCGCCTGGAGCTCTTCTGTGAAAGTTCCACAAAACCCTATAATCATGTATCTCATTGTAATCATCCTAAAATACATTTTCAGGTATAAGTCCCATGATTTCTCTCCCTTAGGCTGAGAAATTAATCCCTCTTACTTATACGCAACCTAGGAAAATTTCTCACCCAATCATGTGAGCCAGAGGGATCACCCTGACAAACCAGATTTTCTTCATGCCGGGCAAGGCCGAGACTGGCGCTAGCATGGGAGCCCTGGGAAACCACATTTGAAGCTGGCACAGGATATTTAAGTGTTTTTCAAACTCTGGGTGTTAATAAGTGGGGTTTTTGGTTTTTATTTGTCTTTAATGAAGCAGAATAGAATAGATATTATCCATGTACTTGGTATGTAATAGGGTATTGTTTCATGACATCTTTGTGTGTGTGTGTGAACTTGGTCTGAATGTAAAATACATTTCTTACTATGGGTGCAACAAAGTTTAAAAACCATGATGGAATGTTCGAGCATTAGATCTCTTGTTGTGAACTGCAACCCAGCTGCTCTGTCCAGGCGACTTCTCTCATTCAGCTCCCCACAGCTGGCAGCACATAGCTGGGTCTACAGGTGAAATTCACCTGGAGCTTAAAAACTGCCAACATGGCTGCCTGCCTCACCAGACCCTGGGGAACCTTTGAGAAACACGGGAAATCTAGCTGCAACTTTCAGACATGTCTACCTTTTTTTGTTTTTTTGTTCTTTTTAATAGAAAGCAAGAATCTCATGTAGGCATAAAAGTAAAAACGCTAGAAACCCAAGTCTGCCTGGACTTTTGCTTTAGCAGTTCCAACCCCTTCCAGAACCACCAGTGACAGTAAATGGCCAGACTGCCTCCAAAGTGGCTCACCTCTTCCAGTGCACAAGTATCTGCATTTGTGGCATTCTAGGAGTCCTTCAGCCTCTGACTGGTGGTATTCCACTTCCTCTCGTCCAGGTCTGGGGTTCGAGGGCAGGTATCTCCCCGAAGTGGGTTCGCTGTAACTAAAAACATACATGACCATTACGGGGCCTCAATTTCAACAGCTTGTTCAGTATTAGAACTCTGGACACCTCACGCTGGGCCCAGAAATCAAACAATGTACACCACAGAAACATACTTTGCTGTAGTATTTCATACTCCAGGGAATTCACTGGTTTAGTGACCCCAGAGGGCATCCAAGCACTTGGACCAACTCAACTAACTACCCCCATTACTTATCGCTGTAATTCTGAACACTGGCTTCGATGCTGGTTTGTCAACCTGGAGGTTCCATCTGACCAGGTAGCTGGGACCTGCTATCGTGAGCTTCTCAGTTCAGCATGGACCTGGCCACTTTAAAACCTGTTTGCCTTCACAAGACTCTGATGCCCAGGCTGGGGACTAAGACACTGATTTGTAGGGCGAACTAAAATGCAGCTCTGTATTCTCCCAGGTCATGCCATTGCAGCGTAATGTGGCTTTAATCAGGCAAACAACAGGTAGTCCCTCTGACTCTTATCTGGGCACAACTTTTGTCATAGTTAGGCTAGTTGGTTTTAGATAATGTAATATAAACTCAGGATAGCAGCTTTCCCACTGTGTGGACATAACAGGGAGAGAGACTCAATTTAAATCCACAAGTCCCACAGCAGAGAAGAGCCTGATCTCTTCTTATAGAAGTGGGCAGATGTCAAAAACCATAAGGAAATCATCGCTCCAGGCCCTGTCTCCTTGTTGGACGGGCGCACCCCCTGGGAATTCAGTAATATCTGCGGAGTTGGATGGGATGTTCACTGGGGCCTAGGTCCACCTCCTGTCCGGCTTTCCATCCCCACCCTCTCCCAGCTCACAGAGTCTCCCAGAACACCGCGTTGCTTTCAACGCACAGGGCTTTGTGGGAACTCAGTGTTCTACCAGGCAGGGAAGGCAAAGTTTGCTCAGGCAGAAAGGCAGCGGGGGATGGGTTCTGAAATCATCACAGGATCTGAATGAGGCAGCCCAGAAAGACCTTTAATGTGCAGTTTTTTGTAGATTTAGTTCTTTGGTTAAAAGTGTACCTTCTTCCAGCTGTCTGTTTATGAAATATGTATATGCCCCTGGAAGGGGTTCACATTAAACTATTAACCTGACATTGGGCTGACTTTATTAGGCCCTGGCCTCCAAGAAACGGGGCCTTTGAGGAGGGCTGATTCTGGAGCACAGGAGGAGGGTCTGAAACCCTAAGGCTCCACGAACGTTCAATCTTTTGGTGTCTCTGGGCCACACTGGAAGAAAGAATTCTCTTGGGCTACACATTAAGTACACTGTGACAGGTAATCACACGAAAAAACCCCTTAATGTTTTAAGTACACTTACGATTTCGTGTTGGGCCGCAATCATAGCCATCCTGGGCCACATGCGGCGCAAGGGCTGCAGGTTGGACACTCTTGGAAGCAGTCCCGTGACCACGTGGTGGGGGATAGGGGAGGGGCCTCAGGTTAACCTCAACTGCCTAATCTCCTTCCCTTCCCTTCCCTTTCCTGAAGTCGCTATCTCCTAATCTGGTCCCCCGGCTCTGCCACTACTAACAGGGGTGGTTCCTACTTTATTAAACTGGTTCAGGTCAAGAACTGGGGGCATCATAAGGTTTTCCTTCCCTCCCAAGTCCTCTCAAAGAGCGCAAGGGTATGACACTGTCTTCCTTTAAACCGACTTCCTACGAGTGGCCCTTGGGCGTCAGAGGAGCGCAGGCTGGCCTGGGACCCGGAGCCGACGTCGCAGGGCCCCCTCCTTCCCTGCAGCCCCACCTCACCTTTCTGGTCCGCGGCGCGCGACGCCCTCCTTCCTGTGGGGCGGTGACTCCGGGGTTTCCCAAGGCGCCGGCCAGGGGGGCGGGGCTGCGTCCCAGGTGGGCCGCGGGGGTCCGTCCCGCGTGCGGCTTTGGCGGGACTTTTCCCAAACTCTTTGTTCATCAGGACGATGGTCCCGGATCCTGTGCCTGTCCTGGCGGGGGTCTCGGTTCCGCCCCCTGTCCCTGTCCCCGTCCCTTCGCTCGTCCCCGCTTCTCTCCCTGCGCTGGTCCCCGGCTCGGTCCCGCTGTCGCTCGGGGTGGCGGTCTCGGTCCGGGCGGGGCTGCCGGGCTGGGTCCCGCTCTCTCGGCCGAGTCCGGGGTTCGCGAGTCCCCGACGTATCTCCCATGGCTCGATGCCGCGTCCCCGCCCCGGAGCGACCCGAGGGCAACAATCACCACAAGTTTCCCAGGCAGGTGGCCAAGACCAGGGGCGGAGTGCGGCGGGGCGGGGCGGGGCGGGGCGGGGCGGGGCGGGGCGGAGCGGAGCTGGACGCTCACCTGCGCGTACACGCACCGGCAGCGCTGCGGACCTGGAGCGCGTCCACCTGAGCGCGCGCGCCGGCAGGAGGCGCAGCGGTGCGCAGCCTGGGGCCTCGGAAGTGAGTGAGTGCTGTCTGGGAACCCAAGGGCTCCTCTGCTGGACACCCAGGGGAGCCGACATCCGTCACCCACCGCGCCCGTCCGCCCTGGAGTGTCGTCTCCGTGACCCCGCCAGGTGAGCGGCCTAGGGAAGCTAGCGTAGTCTCAGCGCCTTGGGTTTACTTCCCCGGAGTGTATCCGTCCAGTTGCTCACCCGCCCAGCCCACCATCCATCGCTGTCCCTCTGCCTTTCCCTCCCTCCCTCTCCTGCTTTCCTTAGAACGGCTGTGTGTGTGGGGAGGTGGGGAGGGTTGAGTCATTTTATCTATTGCAACAATCCCTTAGACGAATGTTTTAAAAATGACGAACCGCAACAGAATTGACAGCTCTTTATTTTGCCAACTAAGGATATTTAAAAACACGTAAAATCGCCATATGTAAATTAATTCTTTCAACAAGCATCTGTGAGCACCGAGTCTAGCAGATACTGGAAGTACAGTGTAAACTCTACCTTTGTGGTCTTCGGTGTAGGGGAAGAGACAACTGCCAATAAACAAGATAATGTCCAAAACTTAGGCAGGGAGGGCAGGTTTCTTTATGTAGATCTAGGGAGGGGACGTTGGAATTAAGTCCTGGAAGAGGAGGAAGCCTTACGGATAGCTGAGAGAATGTTCCAGATAGTGAAGCCACGTAATGGAGAGAGTCCAGCAAGAACAGACCCTGGTGAACAGACACAGGATGGCCTGTGAGGTGGCAAAGTCCTCCCTCTTGCAGACCTTCCTTCTGGGCCCCGGGAACACCCTTTTTGAAGAAACAACCTTCTGTACCAGCTCACCCTTTTTGTTTCATTTGTTTTTGTTTTGTATCTTTACCCTCATACACTACTTATTGTCCTTTGGCTATATTTGTTCCATCTATAGTTACAGACTTTTTTTTTTTTGATGAAACATGATTTTAGGTTCCAGACATATGACTCTTCCTCTTAAATACTTCTACATTTATCTCCAAAGAACAATATTCTCCTAAATAACTGCACTACAAGGTTCACAGTCTAGGAACTTAGCATTGATATATTATCAAAAATACATTCACATCCAAACTTCCCTACTGTCTCAATAATCCATTAATTTTTTTGATACTTCAAAATTGCCCAAATTTGGCCAGCAAGGGTCCCTTCAAGCTGCCTCCTGTGAGCTTTTGACATCAGAAGAAATATGCTGATGTGCACATCAATTGTTGTGGCTTCAGCCTGTGCCTGAACCGCTTTGCCTCCTGGCCTAACCTGCCTCTCCCCTGAGGATCTCACTTGCCCTGATGCTCCCTCCAGTGGAGAATGCTCGTCCAGGAGCCCCACGTAGGAACATTCTGTGAACTTCCATGTTCAGAGTCATCCGCTGTTCCTTTGAGGTTCGTCATAGTTAGATTACAAGATGGACTGGCGGGGCCAGAGACCAAATGAAACAGTAACTTAAACAAACATGATAGGAAGTTGATTTATCTCTTGGAAGAGTAGGGGCTGATCTGATAGCTCTGCTCTGTGAAGTTCTCAGGAGTCCAGGCTCCTTCAAGGTTGTTCTGCCACCTGTCAGGTGCCACCCTCATCTGCAAGGTCTTAAGATGCTTCATGGCTGTGTCTACATTCCAGCCCACACGAAGGGAAAAAGTGGGGACCAGGAACGGCTGTCCTCATTCCTTTGAGAGTGAAGCTCACAAGTTGTAAACATCACTTCTGCTCACACTGTGTTGGCCAGAAGATGGTCATGTGACCACAGGTAGCTGCATAGGAAACTGGGAAATGTAGCCATGTACCCAGCTAAAAATTGGGTTGGGGCGGTTTATGCTATGAGAATGAGGGGGAGAGTGGTTGATGGGGGACAGTCAGAAGTCTTTGTCACAGGGTGTATTCATTCAGTTTCTTCTCTGTTTTGATGATGTCATGAAGTGTGCCCCTGGACTCTTCATGTCTTCATGTCACTGAAGACTTTGGTGCCCCATTCCATCTCAAGCCCCGCCAACGTCGGTAGTGAGGCAACAAGATGAACACACATGCCTTACTTAATTCCAAGGTACTCGCCTCCTCTCGTCTTCAGCCATCGCATCGCCTTAACTGTGGAACGTTGTCATCCCACACAACTGCCCGTCTTTGAAATGTTAAGCCCAGTATCCCTTGTTTCCTCCATGTCAACACTCTCCCCATGTTCAGTTTCAAGTGACCAACTGTTTAACAAGAATCAGCTCACAAGAATTCCTGAAAGTTTTTAATTTTTTAAAAAAATTATTTATTTATTTATTTATAGAGAGAGGAAGGGAGGGAGAAAGAGAGGGAGAGAAATGTCAGCGTGTGGTTGCCTCATGCTCCCCTAACTGGGGACCTGGCCCGTAACCCAGGCACATGCCCTAGACTGGGAATCAAACCGGTGGCACTTTGGTTTCACAGGCTGCCGCTCAGTCCACTGAGCCACACCAGCCAGGGCAGAATTCCTGAAAATTTAAACTTGGCTCTCATTGGCTGGTGAGATGGGCTCCTGCACACTACTGCCTTCCTTCCACTCACACCTGTTCTTTAACATCACTAGGACCCTGTGGACCTTAAGTTTTTCATTTTTTCCCCCTTCTAACAGAACTTACTGGTCTTCCAGATATTTTTCCTCCATTCTAATCCCTTGATGAACCATCTGAACTGCCTTCTCATCAACACCCTTGATAACCTCCTAGCCCTCTCCTTCCAGCCCAGCTGCTCAGCAAAAATCCCACCCCTGGATCAATCCACCTTTCTAACTGCTGGGCCCAGCCAGTGGACAACTGGGGAGACACACAGCCTGGCAGAGAGAGGCTACTACCAACTGACCAGCCTCAACCTCCACAGAACCCTCAGTGCTGCCCATCAAACTTTCTACGTATTCTTGGGCAGGCCTTTGTGATTGCCTGAACAAAAAGAATTAGGCCTGGCTATGTAATTTGCAAGACCCATTCAAAATACAAATGTGAGGCCTCTTTCTCAAATTATTATCAAGAATTTCAAGACGGTGACAGGAGTGCATTAAGCCAAGCATGGGGCTGTTCTAAACATGGGACCGTGTGTGACTGCACAGTTCGCATGCCTGCGAAGCTGCCATAAATAGAATGTGGCGGAAGTGACACTGAATGACTTCTGGGACTTGCTCATAAAAGGCAATACAGCTTCTACCTGGCCGTCTCTGAGGACACTCTGCCGTGAACCCTAGCCACAATAATGTAAGGAATCCCAGGGTACCTGAAAAAGCCATGTGGGTGTTCTGGTGCTCAGTTTCTACCACTGGGAAGGAAAGGTAAGCCATTCCCGCTGGGCCCTTCCAAATGCCTGACCCACAGAATCCCTGAGCATAACAAATGGTTGTGCTGTGCATTTAAGTTTGAGGGTGACTTGCGACTCAGCAAAAGATAACCAGAAAACCTTCCATGACTTAGCCTATATTGGCCTCTTGTTTTTTCAATTACTGCAGTTTTGGTTTAAAACATGCATCTCATCTGTTGTTCTCAAAATTTGAAGTTATATACTTATTTGTGTTGTCTGTCCCTCTAGCCTGTCAGCTCCCTGGGATGCTGTCTTTGCCATTATGCACGGCACATGTAGGTATTTGGTAACTGACTGTTGAGTAAATAACATTAGTTCTTCTAGATGAATCTGTGAACTCAGGAAGATGATAGGGACCTTATATTTTCTATTGTGTAAGGTGCAAGATGGCATAAGATGCATTAACAGTAAAATAATCCTAATATGTATAATTTTTTAAAATTGTACTTGTTTTTAAAGAGAGAGAGAGAAGGGAGAGAGAGACAGAAACATCGATTTGCTGTTCCACCTAGCTATACAGTCATTGGTTGATTCTTGTATGAGCCCTGACCGAGAATCTAACCCACAACCTTGGCGCATCAGGATGATGCTCTAAGTGAGCTACCCAGCCAGGGCCTAATATGTGTAATTTTAAATAAATTAATCTAATGAGTAAGGAAGGAATAAGTAAATCAGTAAGGCGGTTGTGAGTTACAGCCCAATGAAAATCTGATGGGTTTATTTAATTTTAATTTCTATTCTTTTATTTTTGTTTTTGTGGAAGAGAAGGTTAGGAACCAATGCCTTGAACTCTCTTTTGCTTTAGTTAAAACTAAAACACTTTTTGGCCATTCTGCTATTCTTCCAGGAACCCCTGGACAGACATTATGCATCTGGTGAAGAGTTCTGGGGTCAGGAGCCCTTTTCTGAGGAAACCCCCGAGTGTTCAACCAAAGCAAAGAGCACAAATAGCAGGTGACCCAAGAGTGGAGAAAAGGAAAATACTTGCCATGGTGTGTTCAAGGTAATTTTCCAAAAAAGGTAAAATGCCAACTCTCATTCAGATATAAAATAAGCACATGCTAAAGATTGTTTTTAACTCAAAAAACCCTGAGCAAATCAGGCAGGTACTACAACAGGTTCTGGAGAGAATCTGAAGAACAGGCCCATTGTAGATCAGGAAGAGTGGGGTGAATGTACAAAGGAGACAAGACTGATTTCTTCCAAGGAGGGAGAGCAAAATTGGTTGAACCTCTACCAGACAGGATCAAATCTGCATGTCCACAAACAAGAATCATTTTGCACTGCTGTTAATTACCTGTAATTTACAGAGTTGTAAAGTAGCATAGTTTTCTACTAAAGCACAAATGGAAAGCCACTACCTTTGTTTAAACTGGAAAAGTGGGATAGTAAATGGTCTTAGCAGTTTTTGGATCAACCCAAAAACCCAAAGACCAACCCAAAGAGAAATAGTATGCACTTGTGGTTCCAACTTAGCAGGCTTAGAATGAAGATG